CACTCACTCACGGTCTTCTCTTGATGCATGGTGCTAACAATATATTTGTTGCACAGAATGGAAGAAGCTGGGAAAGGCAAGCCAAGAACCGAGAATCCCAGCCAAGCAATGATGCAAACAACCAATTTTTCCAGTATTTCCAATGTTTATTATCTCAGCTTCACTGTCTACAAATACCTCTCATAACTATGTGAGAAAAATGTAGTTTATTGAATTTTCTGATGTATAAACTGAAAATAGTTCACGAATCCCAAGCTAAAAACCATCGGATAGACGAGCCAACAATAACCCTCATTATTCTGCTTTAACTACCAACAGCACCAACTCTAATGGAAAACATGCTATTAAATATAAATTTGCTGTAGTGCAATTCCCGTACTGGTTTTTCCATGTCAAATCATAATAGTTAGCTATGTGAATACATCAGTTAAATAAACAAGGGTGACTTGAGGAAGCATATCACCTGTGATGAAGGCTTCTTTGGCACGTAGACCTTCCACATCTTGGCTTCCCTAGAGGCGGCCTTTTCCAAAAGAAAAGACAGCCTCTGGCGTCCCCAGGGTTCGGTGAACTTCATTGTGTCCTCCCTGGGCTGAGCCTACCTCCCCACTGGATACAGCTACCTGTACAATTGGAGGGGCAAAATATCAGAACATTGCCACCAAGAGGGACTGCACCGGTGCTTTTATACTCACAAAACCACCTTTAAGATATAATTTTTAAGGACCACAAATGTGGTTTTCCAAAGCATACGTCTTTATTTTTCAGTGAGGGATTAAAAACAAAGAAGTGACAACATTTACTGAAGGTGGCAAACACAGTCATGAGTCCACCGTCTAGGCTTCTGGCTTCTTCAAAATTGAATAAATTGAACCCTGAGGAGCTGATGATTATATTCCACTTCTGTCTTACGTCACCTATTTCTTACTAAATGTATCTTGTTCCCTGCAGCTGTCCTAAATGTCCCTTTTATATGTGTACATCATTTTTAATGGATTCAGAAAGAGATTATTAATTATTAATGGTCATAACAATAAATTAAAAACAAAAAAAATATTATTTGCAAATTACACCATTGCTCTTGTCATTTTGAGCTTTTCAAATATGGACCTCAAAACAGCTGATGTCACATGCCCATGGGCGACTTAATTGTTGGTTACATCCATATAATTAATTTTTTTTTCAAATGCTTTAATTTTGTATGTGTAATTTTATCACTTTAAACTCTAAAGAAATTAGACATTTCCCCCCTGTTATTTGACTAATCTCAGAAAATATACTGTAAATTTACCACGGGAATTTCTAAAATGCATTATTTTCCCTGTGCTTTTGCCACTGTAATTTCTAAAGATTTTTTTTTTTTTTTGCAATTTATCAAGATTATTGTTTTCTGTAAATGTACTATTTTAATCTCTGAAAATATACACAATCTCTTTATTATGGCTCACTTTAATCTCTGGGTTAAAAAACAAATCTATAACTTTAGCATTCAATCTCTAAAAAGGTTCCGTTTTCCACCTGTACTATTACTAATATAATTTCAAACTACACGTATTTTTTTTGTCATTTTATTAATTTTATATCCGTTTTTTCCTGCAAATTTACTGCTTTAATCTATGAACATTTTTTACCCTCAGAAAACATACCAAGTTCCTGTAAATTTACCATTTTAATCTCTCAAAAATGGAGAACAATTTTTATCTAAATGTATTGTTTAACCGTCCGAAAATATAAACGTTCTAACCCTACATTTCCTATAAGGCTGTGGATCAAATTCAGGGCCGTGGGTGTTTTTGGGGGGTACTGAAGCTCCTGGAGATGCTTAAACTTTGACCTTATCGATCTGAAACGTTAGCTTTGAACCTAGCTAACCGTAATCACATCAGTCACCGTCTAATCTATGACAAACTGAAATCAAACAATTTCTCATTTTATCGGGAAACTACCGTGAATATCCAACTGGGAAGTCCCTTTCACTTCGAAGCACCTAGGCTTCAGGAGCAGGTGTATTACCGACCATTTCCTTATGATATAACCAAGGATCCGGCTATCTTCTGGAGCTGAGCTAATCTGACGTGGCTAGCTGTTCGCTAGCTGACGTAACATGCTATTACTTATATATTCGCTCTTGTTTAAAAACACAAACATAGTTGAAAATGTTGCTCGCTACTCTCCACTATTGTGAAACAAAAACAGCTGCGGTGCGTAAAAGAGTCTCCAGACTGCGTTAACAACACAGCAGAGACATTTAAATGGCTGAGTCAGATCCAGTAAGTAGCCGGAGCCTGGAGCCTTACCTCCCCTGCGAAGCGGAGAAGACCGCAGTTGGGTTTCATCCGGTCCACTCGGTTCAAGGACGAGAGAAAAGGGTGAAAACGGGTACCCGCACTTCACTTTAGTCGTCCATCGTGATTCGGGATAAAAGGGGGTTGTTGTATATAAAATATATAAAAATAAAAGAACGGAATATAGACTGATACGTCTACTTCCGAGGAGGGGACTCGGGGGGAAGAGCGAAACACAAAGTCTCCGCCCACCTCCACGCCGAACGGGAATGCAAAACAATCAAACCTTCAGCAGAGGGTCACGGTCATACTAATAGATGTACCTTCAGGGGGAGTTTGTTTAACAGTTTACAGTGAACCTAGTGTACTCAAGACCATCTAAGATCACCTGTGAGATGGATTCAGCATAGCTTCTACATATGTAGATGCAACACAAACAGCACCACTTTATACTGCATCGGGAGCCAGTGCAAGGCTGCTGACACTGGAGAAATGTCATCTCTCTTTTTTGTCCAAGTCAGTAATCAGGCTGCAGCATTTTGCACTATTAATACACTAGCAATAGATGATTGATTAACTCTAGTGTACAGTGCATTAAAGGAACAAAAGTAAACATAACTCTTTTATATTAAATAAATAATAATTAAATTAAATTTAACAAAAAGATTTTAGTATGTGTTGTAACAAAAGTAGTTAAAGAGTCCAGTTTATCTGTTAACCCCTCAGTAAATAGTCAAGGGACAAACAATATCACCTGCAAAAAACGTTGTTTTCTTGTTTTTTAAAATATATATCGAATATGCACTTTCTTACAAAACAGTGATTTCTAAGATTCACAGCTAAATGCAACTGTAAATGATCTGCATGGCAATGACTCGAGAGGTTATGTTGACAAATAACTGGAGGTAGAGAGAACATGTAAAAAGAAAAAAGAACAGGCCCCAAGACAGACCCTTGTATAACTCTAGATGTAAAACTGAAATTAGTTAAGAGGCAAACCTTTGACTCCTACAGTATGAAAAGCAGCTTTCAAGTCCAGCAGAAAAAAAGCAGAGCAACCACCAGAATCAGCACCAATTACAATATTGTTTGTGAAAGGACCGAAACCCGACTGAAAGGACTAGAAAGGATGACAGTTGAGTAAAAACAGAGTTGTGTCAAATCTTAGCTCGTCACAGATTGTGTTTAAGAGAACAGAATCAACACAAAGCTTCTTTCTGGATGTTTCTGTGGGAGTTTACAAGCATTTGTCCCAGGAAAGACTCCATTATGTGGTTAAAAACAAAAGAAAAAGGCTGGGTCTTTCTCTGGTAATCTTCTGTGGGCCAGCGTAACCAAACCGTACTGATCAGTGTGCTGAATGCGAAGTTCATCGTGGACTTTTCTGTGACTCTGAGTCTGATGTATGGCAGGGATTTATGGTGTGTTTCCTACCAGCGTGTGGGAAGTGGTGGTTCCTCAAAAGCAGCTCCAAAGTAAATGCTGACGTAAGGGTTGACTTCTGCCTTTTAAGATGACCATGCACTTTATCATTGACACAGACAGCCAGACAGAAGTACTGATATCATTAGTGGTCTGACTAACAATCTTATCACAGATAAATGAAATTTTAATGCAACTTTCCAGCAGGAAACTGCAAACAAACTACTTTTTTTGGCTTCTGAGGGTTTTTAACAAATATATTTTTCTTTCTTTGCTTAAGCTGTCTTCTCTCGGGCAAGAGGAAAGAAAAGCTCCTAAAAAGTGGTCTAAAATAGACATTTAAACGTTCATTTACGCATTATCTAATGGAAATGTATGTAAGTTAGTGCATATTTAGATATCCCTTACCCACTGATATTTGCATATCAATGGATTCAGCAGTCACACCTTTCAAGCAAACCCTGGTTGGTTTCGCCACCAGGGTTGCATAAAAGTAAAATCATGAACTTTCATATTTGATATTTTTATTCTTGAAGTACTTCTGTGTTTCATTGCGAAGGTTATAATTTATAACCTTCGCAGTTGTTATTGAATTATAACTTATAATTCAATAAAACCATAGCTAAAAACATATGGGAGACTTAAAGCTTATAAAGCCTTACTTTAGTGTTATCAGATCTGACTCTATACATGATGTTTTCATGTTAAATTGGACTTTTAGCTATATACCCATTAATTTAGACTGGGGTCTTAAAATAACTTACCAAATCACTCCTGACAATACATCAGAAGATATTCTCATTCTGGTTCATTGTGACGTTACATGAACCCAGGTGTAGAATCTCCCATTCCGCTTGTTTTTATAAACTTTATTGGGCTTGCCACAGTATCTTTGAATTTAATCACTTTTGTGTTGAATTCTTATTTAATATAAACATCTTCATTACATCTGAAAGATCTTAGAGTATATAAAAACACTGGTATGCTTGTTTAAGGTGGAATTGAGGTTTAACCATTTACAGACATATTGTTTCACATCTGACACAGACAATGAATAAAAAAAACTGTCCAAAAAAGGCACTACGTAATGCTATGATTGCGTCAGGTCTCTGTGTAGGCACGATCCAATCAAAACATTACATTTTGGGCGGACTATTTGAACGCAGCAAACTTCGGTTTGCTGATTGGCTCACGGTAATGTTACTCAAGGTGGGCTTGTTTCTCGCGATCCAAACGCTGTGTTTCCGTTTCTCCGAGCTGTATCTGTGGATTGAAGCTGGGTTATCTATCTCCAGTGTAAATATGGTGAAAATGCTAATACGGTGGTACAAAAACACCAGAATCGAGCTGCAATTTGTGCCTTTAACACCCTAAAAAGGGGACAGCTGTTCGTAAAGCGATGGGTCTGATTGGTTGTGGCCGGGTGACGTCGAGAAGTAGGCGTGAGCTCACTCAACATCAACAAAGGACAGAAAAAGAGAAAGACGAAAGAAGAGCAGAAGAAAAATAAGCCACAGCAGGACAAATATGTGGATCTAACTCACAGAAACAGGTAGAGTAAACCATTAAAATACATCACAGTTGCATTTATTTTACTTAGAGCGTTCACTTGAGCGAGTAAAGTGTCGTTTTTTGTTTTTGAAGGTTTTTCATTACTGTCGACAGGAACTCGTCCAGAAGCGCTTAAAAATAGCAAATAGGTGAATTTTATAGTTCTGACATTAGATTAAAAGCATTTAATGTGTGTTTTTCCTTAAAATTGATATGTTTGCTTCAGTTTGCACGTACAGCATAGAGGCTTCTCTTCGCTGTTGTAGCTGGTATCATCTGGACCCGTTTTCCTTTTTTCTAAGCTCGGTTAAACTCACTTTTACAAACCACTGCAATGACATATAATCGGTTTATTAAGTCAACTCTCTGCTCTAGTTCTCAATTATTAAATATTTGTGTGGGTAATCGTGTTTCCGTAGTAAAATAGTTAAGATATTTCATCATTTTTAAACAGAAGCCCCTCCCCCCGCTCCGACTACAGAGGATTTAAACCATTAGCTAGCGGAGGCTAACCGTCCACATCAACTACAAAAATTCAAAAAACAAAACCAAAAGACAAAAACAGTGTTTTTAGACGTGGGGCAACTTAATTTGTATTTTAGGTCGTTAATTTACAGCCATAACAGGAAAATGGGGTACTTGTTTTTCGGTCAGGGGATCGAGAAGACGTAGACAAGCGGAAATCTGACACCGAAGCCCAGCTGAGGGAAGTGGGCCGGGCCCTGGGCTCTGACCCCCAGACTGAGAGTGCACGGCAGTCACGTAACAGTTTAGCAACAATGTACCCGAAAATGTGAAGTCGTGTGACAACACTGTAACAGTGTAGCAGTTTAGCAACGACCGAGTGATTAACTTAGATCCTCAACCTGGATACAGATTATCTGACACGATTCCAAAGACTTCACCTCAAATGTGTCCTCTTCATTCACATTATTCTCATGATATACTCAGGCGTCTACAATAAAACAGACTAGAAAGCGTTTGTTTCTGCTCTGTGTGAAATACAGTAAAACCGGATTTTATTTTTCCCAAAAAGTTGATAAAACGGAGCAAATAATACGATAAAACAAAAGATTAATAGAGGATAATAAGTAAAACAATGTGCCACATAATTCCTCAAATAGAAATTAAATAGAATTTAGTAGCTTAACATGGTTTTCTTGGTGGGGATGTGGTGTTTGGGGGGAGGGGATGTGTTCATTAGCAGCTCTCCTCCCTCTATAGTTGAGGCAGTGAGTTTGTTGCCATACTCACGACAAGTCTATTCACGCAGCAAAAAGGTTCAAAATATTTTCATATGATCACAGAGACCTTTTTTGTGATGTTTGAATGCAGTAAATAAACCCCCTGCTAAATGGCAAAAATCTCGAAAATATAATGAAAAGTTAAGTAAAATGTTAACTATGGAACAAAACTAAAATGCAAACGAATGTGCAAAAAAACGAATCATGAAGAAGTCGTGAGCTACAGGTACAGAAAAGAGCTAATTGTTGCATGAGTGGCGCTGCTGTAGAATGTTAAACTGCCCAGAGGCTCTGTTGATTTTGCTTGATTGAGCTGAGTCCAAACGTCCTTGTGGAAAGAAGTTTGTGCATCTGGTGACTTTGAATAACCTGCCAGATAAGGCAGCAGGTAAATCAGGCAGCTGCCAGGATGCAAACAGGATTTAAAAATATAATCTAGATTTGTATCATTCAATAGTTAGAGGCATAAGTGTGATTAACTCATTCACTGCCAGCCATTGGCAGTGAATGAGTTAAACCCATTGACTCATTCACTGCCATTGACGGCGATAGACGTCAATGGCAGTGAATGAGTTAAAAGTCACTTTTTTTTTTTAAACAAACAAAATGGAGAAAAGCAGATTTAGGAAGAAATCAGAAAATTCTGGTTAGAAGTGAATTTCATAACATGTAAAATGTCATAACAAACTCACCTCAGGGGAAACTCCAAACTTCTGCTCTGCTCTTCATTGTGACGGAGAGTTTGCAGAAATCCTGTTATGTATGTGTATTACAAAAATGCTTTTAGTTTCAGTTACGATTTGCAACTATTTGAACTATGACAGTCTTGTAGCTGCCGAGGAGCACAAGCTCACAGCAAAGGCTGTAAGTCAGCCTTTTCTTAGGTTACAGCATAAAAACTAAACTTTGTGACTTTTCTTTCCTTGCAGTGTCGGTACTGTGTTTTTAAAAAAGAAAGATCACTTCCTGCAGTGCCAGCTGAGACATGGATGCCTTCAAGCTGATGAAGGAGCTGAGGGTGAATTGTGAGCAGGAAGTGCATTACCTCCCCAAAGTAATGGGACTCAGCGCCATTGAATCCACAGCGCCGGTGGGCACCTGTAGATCTAAGCATTGCTAACAGGCTTCTTAATAACTGTGAAATTAATCAACAGTGTGTCTTTATTCTCCAGGGTGACAGTCGGATCTCGGCCAAGTGCAGAGATGCCAAAGTGGAGGATCTGTGGAGTCTGACCAGCTTCTTCGGTTACAGCACGCAGACGTTCGTCCTGGCTGTTAACCTGCTGGACAGATTCCTCGCCATGATGAAGGTATGAGACGTTCACACCTGCTAGGAGCAGACACTGCACACTTTAGCTTCAGAGGTTTCTTTACTTAATTGTTGTCTCTCCTCCCATCAGATCCAGCCCAAGCACCTGTCCTGCATCAGCCTCAGCTGCCTCCATATAGCAGCCAAAGTGACAGAGGAGGAGTGCAACCTGACGCCCACCGACGAGCTCATCCGCATCGGACAATGCCGGTTCACTGTGTCCGACCTCGCACGGATGGAGAAGATCATCACCGAGAAGCTCAACTTCAAGTCCAAAGCCGTAACCGCCTTAACCTTTCTGCACCTGTACCACCAGATCGCGCTATCGCACTGCACCGATAGGTGAGGCCCTTACGAACACGAGGTTACATATTCAGATTTGTGTCTGCAAATAGATGATCCGTTACAGTTGATGTTTGGAAGCTTGATGATTCCGGATTGGGTTCAAAAGTCTGGACGACATTCGATTGGCAAAAAGTCTTGATATGTGGGGCAGCAGGCAGTGTCTGACTGAAGTGCACTGATAACACCCGTTTTCTGCTGTTGGCAACAAAACTTTGCTCTTATGTAACCCTGCCGTGTTGTTTTTAACCAGCTCAGCTTGGGTCAAAATGCCACATCAGAGTTTACACCAGTTTGTTTTGTTTAGAGCAAATTAAGTTAATTGAAGAGTTGCACAGAATTTAACTGTCCTCATATTTGACATCAGTGTTTTAAGTTGCCCAGTCCTGCTAAGTGTGTTTACCACTGCCACCTGGTTGTGAAACTGAACACTAATCGGCTGACCACTTGTGACTGACAAAGATAATGTTGAGCCACCTTTTCAATTCTCAGTTTATTGCTATTAATAATAATAGCAATGTGGACAAAACTGATGATTGCGTGTGTTCAAGAATTGTTAAAGACCCGAACCTGATTGCATGTTTGTGTCTGTCCTAACAGGAAGACTACGCTCAGCCTGGAGAAGCTGGAGGCTCAGCTCAAAGCCTGTCTGTGCCGGATCTCCTTCTCCAAAGCAAAGGTAACAATTCCATGTCTGTCCTGGTTAAAAACTGACAAATGCATTTTATTCTTGACACAACACTGATCCTGTTTAACTGTTTTCTTTTCTTTTCCTTCCAGCCGTCCGTCCTTGCGTTGGCACTGCTGAGGCAGGAGATTGAAGCCGTTCAGTCAGAGGACATGTTGGAAATAACCTCTCACATCCAGAGACACCTCAAGGTAGGCTGTTGCCAAACAGTGCATGACTTCATTACACAACAACTCATCCGGGGAGGGGAAGGTGTACAAATCATGGGAAAAAAAACAACTGAGAAATAGATTTTCTACACCAAAGTCAACAACACAGAGCAGGTGGATTTCAGAGGAAATGAGAAGTTTAAATTAGCAGATGTCTCATGACTCCATTAAAAGAGAATTAGTGTGGGCATTTTCCTGGATCAGCCGCACACAGGAGGCATTTTTAATACATGTTCAGACTTTTACTTGGCAAATGTGAACAACTTTATTAACTATCCTTACAGCCTGCGGACTTGCAGCTTCAAGATGAGACTCCAGTTTTTAAATAGAAGAAGTGAGCACTCGAGTTATAAATAGCATCAGCCGTGTATCGTGAGAGTGTTTATTCTTAGCCCAGCTCTGGTCCAGAATATTTTCTTTATGTTGATGTCTGTAGTTATGTAACCTGGCATGTTGTGATGGCTCCATGTTAAAAAGGAGCTGATGTCATTGATCTTTAGCCCTTTTGTCTTTCTCACACTTGCAAATCACCAACACCACTAGGTTTCTGTTTAATTGTTAAGTAACCGGATAGTTTTAAACACACCGTCGTCTTGTCAGTGCGAAGCGCAGACAGTTAGACTGATCTGCTCCCCTATTTGTTTTCAGATTGCTGATGCTGACCTGGTGCTGTGGAGCAAATGCGTGGCCCAGTGCCTGTCAGACTACGCGTCCCCCGAGTGCAGCAAACCCGACCACAGGAAGCTGCAGTGGATCGTGTCACGGCGGACCGCCCAGAGCCTGCACAGCTACCGTAGTGTCCCCGAACTGCCCACCATCCCAGAGGGCTGCTGGGATGAGAGCGAGAGGTGAGGACCCCAAACACACCCAAGCAACACTGCTGTCACACCTCCAAAAACACAACCGATCCTGAATTTCTTGGTCTTAGTGACTTGTTTCAAGCTATAGAAACCAATCAGACTGACTGTACTGGCTTCAGTTTCACTCTGATTTGATCACTTCTTTCAAACACTCCTACCACCATCAACAACTACAAAAACAGAGGCTAAATGAAAAAGGAACCAAACACACCCTTTGTGTCATCACATACGCCAAATATTTCAGCCTTTGCAGTGACGCAGCACAGAGAAACGCCCTGAAAAGTCTCTGTCAGGTAATCTAGAGCAAGTGTAACAGCAGTGAAGGAGGACACTTACTGTTTCTGGTGCTGATAAAGTCAGAAAAATCTATGAAATGAAGTTTAAATCAGTGGAGAGAGCTCTGCGTTTCTTTTATTTTATTTGCAGTAAACACTTTCCTGTGGCAACAAGCGGCAACACTGAAGTTTCTCCTGTGTTGAAACTGTCTGAGCTTGTCAGGGCCTCTCATATCTCCCAGCCAGTCACATCCCACTGACACAACTGTTTCCATGACGTCACATGAAGCCAGGGTGGCCTCGCCTTTATGTATCAAGGACAGCTCCTTTTTATTTCTACGTCAGTGTGTTGAAAGCGAAAAGAGGAACAGACATGGTTCCAGTGGGCGGGTATTTAAGCACAAGCTAAGTACACAAAGCTCCCGATCAACAAACATCTTTACACACCTTAACAGTTCAGTCAGCTGAGTCAGACAACATGAGATCAGCTGATAGTCTTAAGTGATATGCGGAAGTTTGAAACAGCTGACTGGTTTTGTTTTGCTTTCATTGCTCAGCCCATCTCCATCCCAGTGCCTCTCAGCAAGATCAGAAATGACCAAATAGATTTAGAAGAGATCAGTTTCTATCACTTAATGCTTTTTTTTTGTTTGTTTGTTTGGTTTAGTGCAGCTTCCAACTGCCTTCAGTTGGTTCTACTGCCAAGAAACTCCAATTAAATTAAGAATGAATGGTGGTTGATTAATTGATTTAAAATAATTTTGAAAAATGTTATGATTTAGCTTTTCGGTGAAAATACCCCAATGCACCAGATTAATTTTCTATTTTTAGAGGGTGATGAGAAGGATGAAACAGATTTACTCATTAAGAGCCCACAGAGACTACTGCTGATACAAAAACACACCCAAACCAGACACAGACTTCAAAACAACCCCAATTAAGATACTCTCATTCCAAACATACCTGTGCAAGGTACAACCACTCCACACGCACTACTAATTGTTCACCTTGAAATTGACGAGATACTAACAGTCCAAATTCACCTCAAAAACACGCCAAAGCAGGAGAGCTTAGCAAGATACTAACAGTGTTACATGTCAGATGCTACCACTATTAACGTGACTCAGGAAGTTACTACCATGGTCGTATCAACTTGCCAAAGCCTCTACATATGACTGTACTGACCTCATACCTCCCTCTGTGTGTCTACAGCGAGGACTCGTGTGAGGATATGATGAGCTCGGGTGAAGAGTCTCTCAGCAGTTCTCTGGGCAGCGATGCCGAAGGTTCCTTCTTCCCTCCTCACCTCCGTCACCAAAATCAACGCCAATACCTCTATGCCTGAAGCCTCTGCCGCCCGTGCCTCGCCGTTTCCACCCCCCACCACCCCGTGTTCTCCTGCCGTTTTTTAATTTATTGTTCAATAAGCTCTGGTGCTGGTGGAGAATAGCACAACTGGCAGCTGAGCGGTTAGACATCCTCCAGGTAGATTTGATAGACTTAGTTTGTAGATGTGTCGGTGCATGTTGAGATGTCACATTCCAGGATGCAAGTTTTTTTTTTTCTTTTTTTTTTTGTAAGGATATAAGTGATGTTTTGCAGATAAACTCTGGGCAGCCTGGTCTTCAAGGTGCTGAGCTAGCAGACACATGACGGTCGCTAAAATGTCAGATCGGGCTGGAAGAGTAATTTGCCAAAACGTGGCGTTTGTTTTTGAGTATGTCTTTTGACTGTTATTAATCCAAGACTGTTTTAAGGAGTAGGAGGCGTTTCTCTGGCGTACAGAGGCTGAAAGCAGCAGTGGTCGCAATTTTTCTTTTAGTCGAATCTCATGTGATAAATCAGGACTTTAAAGTAAATGAGAGCAACCTAAAGATGTATCAGTGGCGTGTTCTCCAGTTCAAACTGGAAACTTTCTGACCGCGGCTGCTCCGGTCTTCTGTTTCAGTTTAATTTGCACAGTTTTATTATTATTATTTTTAAATGTAATTTCAAGTGTTAAATGGAAGTGGAGGTTGGAAAAACATTTAACGATCGTGTGTTTATGGATGTGTTTGAAAGTATGGCTCGGATTTAAATTTGAAGTTGCCAATGTTAGGATGTAGCTTAAAAACAAAAGGAATGTCGTCTGTGGTGTTTGAAACTGTTCAGAGATTGTTGTATGAAACTAAATAATAGTGACCAAGTGTCAAAAAAAAGTTGAAAAATATCAAAAATGTTCATACAAAAATATGTAAAAGTGTAAATGCTGTACAAAAAAAGTTTAATTTTTTGTAGATATTAAGTTATTTATTCTTTTTTTTTTTGGTCACCTGTACTTAAAAAAAAAAAGAAAAAAAAGAAGAAAAGAATAATCTTATAAAAATATTATTTTTAAACATCTCGTCTGTTTCTTTTTTCCCCTTTAAATCATGTCTGCAAGCAAAAACTACTCCATCAATCAAACCTGAACCTGAGTGCAGCTCATTTCTCTACAGGCACAGCACTCATGCACATCCAAGAATTTAAAACACATTTAAGAGCCACATGTGCAACTTGGGTGCGTTGACTCCAGTAAAGCTGGACCCCCCTCCCCAAAAAAAAGAAAAACCCAAACAAACAAATGACACCTTTCTCCAGCTTTGAACTTGGCCACCCAGTTTACAACCAAATGTTCATCAAAACGACTGAGCTGGACAAACTGCTTTTTGAGACTGTACACAAGGCACAAACTCTTTCAACAGTCTTTTGCCACCAAAAGACAGTTTTCTTAGAAAATTTCCCAACTGACTAACAAGACCTGGAAGTTTCTGCCCGACAGCCACAACAGAAGCTCTCTCTAAATAAAGCAAAGGTGCCTCCGTGCTTCCTTTACTACCTCCTTTCATAGAAGATACACTGGGTCGTCCTTTATGGAAGGAGATGAATCATCTGACAAATAATCAAGAATGATAAGTAGTGCAGCGCATCTAAATATTAACAGCGTTTCCATTGAACGCCACAACCTGCTGAATTTAAACCCACAGCTGAACTTAGAAATAAAAACCCCACGAACGTGGAAGGTGTGGTTGGTCTTTTAAGTTTCTGCCCTTGTTTCCCTTTAAAGGAGAAGTTGAGATTTTTGTTCATGTTAGTTGTGGTTTTATTGAGAAAATAAGTTAAATTCTGCTTAGATGTAGAAAAGTCTCAGAAACATAAATTTGGCAAAATGAGTGAAACAGAAACATAAAAGATATACGTCATAGACAAGAAGCTTTTTAAATAATGCACATTTAACCACACAGACAGTTGATGAGAGGCGGCTGTTTGTGGGCGTGTTCATTATGACCTTCAGGAATGGTTTTGGCATTAAATATGTGAAAGTTGGATGACAGCTGTTTGGTGCAGTAATATAGCCTTCACAGTATCATCTTCTGAAATGCGTTTGGGTAAACCAACTTCTGGTATCTTTTGAATCATTTTTATGGAAATTATTGATACGTTAAAGGCTCTTTAGCTTTATCTAGACTTTATAGTTATAACAGACCCTAGCATAACTCAGGGACCAGCCCTTGCTGATCTCAAGTTAATTATCACCATTACTCTCTACAGTTTTAATAATCCTGCATGTTGACCCTCAGCTTTTATCACAAAAAGTCATAAATAAAACAGGAACATGAGCTCAGTCAGTTGCGTGCATGCACACACACGCACAGACACACACATACACAACTGAGGTAATAAATTCCATTCAGTCCTACCAAACAGTCTGCAGTGACTCCTCCAGACGTCACACAGGTGATCCTCCTTGATTAGCTTAGATCCAGTGTCCAAGTTTTCTCATTTCATTCCAGTGTAGCAAATCCAGGAAGCGTAATCCCAAAATCCCAAACAATACATTCCCAGACTGAGTAAACATTTCAAAATCCCATTCGAGACTTCTTCTTTGGTTGCGATGCCTGTGACAGTCGACCCTGTGAACTCTGGGACTGAGAGTAGGATTGAGACTTTGACTGAGAGGAGCCTGGCGAGCCGAAGTTCATTCTGGTCAAATCCACACTGTAATTTCGGAGAGGGATGGACTGGGAGCTGCGGAGCTGAGATGAGGCCAAGAGTGGATTTGTGGAGCTCCCCTCATCCAAGTAATGGCTCTGCGAAGGATCATCCTGGAAACATCAGCCAGTTAATGCGAGCATAAAGGTCACAAAAGGGCATTTATTATTCATGCCTTTAGATTTAAGATATATGCCCTACGGTATATATACTGGGGGTGGGTGGTATCAAGTTAGCATAAAAAAATACATTATATAAAGAACAGCAGTGGTCCTAAAACGAAGCCCAGAAACCGTCCTCTTCAGGTGAGAAAGAATGAAGAACAGTCAGCCAAGCTAACACACTATGTTTAAGCTGCCAGGTACTTTGAAAATCAGATTAAAGGATTTTTGCATGAGACAGTATTGTACTTTGGCTGCCAGTGGTCACCTTTAGCCACCAAACGCTCATAAAATAATCTGTTAGATGAAACGAATTCTGCAAATGTTTCATCTAATTAAATCAAGTACAAATATTCTATCTAGGTCCTGTTATACAAACAATAACATTCACACCAATTTTTATTGTTCAGGTTTCTATTCTTTATGATATATGAAAAAATTAATTAATTAATTAATAAAAGTATAAAATAAATCCCACTTTCTGTATGTGAGCATTTTAAATCACCTGATCTAAGACATGTTACTACCTGTGGCGCGAACAGAGATTCGAGGTAGTCGTCTGCTGGTCGTTTGCTCCTCCTCTGACTGGCTGGTGTGAAGTCCAGTCCGAGTGTCTGGGTCTGAGGAAGGGTGGTGGTCCTGCTGGGGGTTTGCTGAGGGTTGCTACGTTTATCACGTTGTGGTGTGGCGGTCGGGGTGGGAGTTGGAGTTGCTGTTGGAGTGTCATTTAGAACGGTGGAAGGCGTCGCAGCCCTCGAAGTCTCACCCTCGGACATACTTAAGAACTGAGACAGCCTCCCTCTGTCCTCTGTGTCTGACCACGCCGCCTGGCTGACTCCGGAGGACCAGCCCGCAGAGTCAGAGAGGTCATCCAGCGCCGACTGGTAGCTGACAGACGAGGTAAAGCTAGCGCTCAGATTCAATCGACGTCCAGTGGCTTGCTTCGCCTCTTTTTCTTTCCTCCTCCTCCTTCGCAGAGCCTGCACCTTTGCCTCCTTGGTGAAGCCCAGCTGGTCCTTCCACCACTTCTGCCATGCCTCCTCACCCTGCCAGGAGAGGGTCAGTCGGTGACTGAGTGGATCTGTCCAGACATTTGTGTTAAACTGGTTTGGTAAGGGTACTACATGTGGAGGCCTGAGAGAGGTGGAGACCATGCTGTGAACCAGCAGTGACCGTCTGGACATGCCCAACCTCAGCTCCTTCCTCAGGCTTTGCATGCACTTATCCTGCCGTGAAGTGCCTTGATCGCCTTCAGGAATACAAAGCAGACCTTGAGTGTTGGCTTTGAAGTGCTGCAAGAGGTGTGAGCGGTGCTTATTTTCATAGGTTTTTTGCATCAGTTTCTGGAGCCAATGTTTCCATGTGACGAGAGCACCACTGCTTAGCTTTACTGGAGTCTTTCTCCGAGATGCACCACTGACAATTTCCTCCACTTCAACAGCTTTATCATTCACACCGACGTCAAATCCAATTTCTTCCTCCGCCCCTGAATCATCGTTGACAACAACCTGCAGCTGCATCCGCCTTCGGTTCCGGTTCATCTCTGACTCTGAATCCTCCGAGAAGCTGGATGCTTGCTGTCCTCTTTCCGGTGTTTCAGGTACAATCCTCGATGGACCCTGTGTGGGCCCAACGACGTCTTCGTCACTTGATGTCTCGGAGATGATCAGCTGAGAATCAGGTGGAAGGCTCTCAGCTGTTTTCCTTGCCCGTGTTGTCATTCCTGGACTAATTTGTTGCCGAGGCTTCAGATCACCCTCCTCGGCTCGAGGCTGTGACTCGTCGGTGTCCGGCTGCTTGTGCTCCAGGATCTGATAGAAAATATCTCCTGCCTCCGTCAGCTGGAGGACGCACATGCACTCCTCGCCACCACCTCCACCTTCTGCTGCCTTCTGGATGCAAGTGAGACCTGGAAACAAACAACCCAGTGAACCTCTGCAGACTCAGAAACTGTTATTACAGTGGGGCAAAAAAGTATTTAGTCAGCCACCGATTGTGCAAGTTCCCCCACCTAAAATGATGACAGAGGTCAGTAATTTGCACCAGAGGTACACTTCAACTGTGAGAGACAGAATGTGAAAAAAAAAAAATCCATGAATCCACATGGTAGGATTTGTAAAGAATTTATTGGTAAATCAGGGTGGAAAATAAGTATTTGGTCAATAACAAAAATACAACTCAATACTTTGTAACATAACCTTTGTTGGCAATAACAGAGGTCAAACGTTTACTATAGGTCTTTACCAGGTTTGCACACACAGTAGCTGGTATTTTGGCCCATTCCTACATGCAGATCTTCTCGAGAGCAGTGATGTTTTGGGGCTGTCGCCGAGCAACACGGACTTTCAACTCCCGCCACAGATTTTCTATGGGGTTGAGGTCTGGAGACTGGCTAGGCCACTCCAGGACTTTCAAATGCTTCTTACGGAGCCACTCCTTTGTTGCCCGGGCGGTGTGTTTTGGATCATTGTCATGTTGGAAGACCCAGCCTCGTTTCATCTTCAAAGTTCTCACTGATGGAAGGAGGTTTTGGCTCAAAATCTCACGATACATGGCCCCATTCATTCTGTCCTTAACACGGATCAGTCGTCCTGTCCCCTTGGCAGAAAAACAGCCCCATAGCATGATGTTTCCACCCCCATGCTTCACAGTAGGTATGGTGTTCTTGGGATGCAACTCAGTATTCGTCTTCCTCCAAACACGACGAGTTGAGTTTATACCAAAAAGTTCTACTTTGGTTTCATCTGACCACATGACATTCTCCCAATCCTCTGCTGTATCATCCATGTGCTCTCTGGCAAACTTCAGACGGGCCTGGACATGCACTGGCTTCAGCAGCGGAACACGTCTGGCACTGCGGGATTTGATTCCCTGCCGTTGTAGTGTGTTACTGATGGTGACCTTTGTTACTTTGGTCCCAGCTCTCTGCAGGTCATTCACCAGGTCCCCCCGTGTGGTTCTGGGATCTTTGCTCACCGTTCTCATGATCATTTTGACCCCACGGGATGAGATCTTGCGTGGAGCCCCAGATTGAGGGAGATTATCAGTGGTCTTGTATGTCTTCCATTTTCTGATGATTGCTCCCACAGTTGATTTTTTCACACCAAGCTGCTTGCCTATTGTAGATTCACTCTTCCCAGTCTGGTGCAGGTCTACAATACTTTTCCTGGTGTCCTTCGAAAGCTCTTTGGTCTTGGCCATGGCGGAGTTTGGAGTCTGACTGTTTGAGGCTGTGGACAGGTGTCTTTTATACAGATGATGAGTTCAAACAGGTGCCATTCATACAGGTAACGAGTGGGGGACAGAAAAGCTTCTTACAGAAGACGTTACAGGTCTGTGAGAGCCAGAGATTTTCCTTGTTTGAGGTGACCAAATACTTATTTTCCACCCTAATTTACGAATAAATTCTTTACAAATCCTACCATGTGGATTCATGGATTTTTTTTTCACATTCTGTCTCTCACAGTTGAAGTGTACCTCTGGTCCAAATTACTGACCTCTGTCATCATTTTAAGTGGGGGAACTTGCACAATCGGTGGCTGACTAAATACTTTTTTGCCCCACTGTATCCATCTATCTTCTACTTTAACCACCAGAACATTAAAGCTTGAGGTGTGACACGGGTTAAAAAACTTCCACCTCCCACTTAATTGTTTTAATAGATCAAATGTGGAGCCTGCATAAACTGAGCTAATGTATCTTATACATTTTCTAACATTCATGACTAAAACTTAGAAACTAAAAGTGAAGGCTTTAATAACTCATGGGAACTGTTAAGTTCAGGTAGACCTTATTTAACTACATTAGATGAACCAAAACTACACGTAGCGTATTTCAGATGATGGCTAATGCCACATTATGATTATGTGACTGTGACTGGGCTACAGGTACGTCTAATCAAAACCTATAAAAATTTAAGACTTTAAAGGTTCCTGCTAAATTAATTTGCAACTGATAGTTCACGTAAACTGTAGCATCACTTTCTCACCTGCGGCATATGAGGACAGTCTGTTGGTTGCAACGTCCAAGCGGTGAGGGATCTGGACTGGGAGGTGTTTCAGACTGTCTCTGGGCCTGAGCAGAGCCTGAGGAGGACCTCGACTGAAACAGGCGTTCCCTCTGCCTCCTGAACACACACAGTTTCACTTTTATGTTCAATCCATATCTCTATCTATATCTCTATATATCTATATCTATATGAAAGTAACTAAACCATGCTGCCCCCTGGTGGCTCACCTGCATACTGCAGCATCATAATTTCCTGAGAACTCTGGGAGCTGAGCAGGACCTTAGTGGTTGCTTCGCCAGCTGACAAGCTTGACGAGGCGCAGCCAGGAACAATGTGACAGAAAATAGGTGGAGACGTCATCATGTGATCCCATTTGAGCATTGGGACGCACGGGAAGCGCTCGTCCATGATGTAGGCCGAGTACTGACAAAAAGTGAGAGAGAGGAAGGTGAAGTGGAACCGTTAACGTTTTAGCTGTTTTGTTACTTCCTGTAAATCTTAAGTGATGCTGGGCGTACCTGAGTGGTGATTAGGTGGTGGAAGGAGTGGGAGTCTCCTAGATACCTGGACAGGACAAGTCTCTCTCCGCTCCGACAATCAGCGGTGCTGCTGATACGAAACAGAGTGTGGCAGGAGGCCGGACTCACCTGGAGGGACAGAAGATGAGGGCGAGGAGGAGGAGAGATGGTGAAATGAAAGAAGAAGAAGATGTAGGGGGAGTCATTTGATTTAAAATCCACTGGGGTGGAGTACAGAAGCAAAATCGCCAACGTTAACCAGCCTCCTGACTCACCCTGATATCTGTTAGGTCCACCCCCGTCCTGTCCGCATACAGCACCACTCTCGGGTGGGCAGTGAACTCGCACCATCTCCATGGAGACTTGGCGTTGAAGTACAGGTTGCTGTCCTCATGTCGCACCTTCTGCATCCTGATTGGTCAGAGGGTCAATTTTAGTTTGCGCTTCCCTTTAAACATTGTCATCTCTGAGCAGAATGCATTGACTTTCTCACCCTTTCCCCACCGTCCACAGGTTTGCGGCTCCGCTCTCGCTCGCCACCAGAACTTCACCTAAAACATGAGGACTGGCAGCACAGAGCAGAGATGATTAGCCTCACATGCACCCCCATACACACACAAAAAAGATCCATCTCATCAACTTCACTCTTTGAACTGTCACCAACCTGGCGCTGATACAGGTCGCGACCTCCGACGTGCTGACCACCTGGAGTGCCTGCGGCTCATTTCTCTCACTGAACCTCCAAACACCACAGAGGTAATCCGACCGCACAGCCACACAACCTGCAAAACAAACAAACAAACAAACATCTTTAAAAACACCACCGTGCTCTGAAGTCATCTCCAAATATCCTCACAGTTGCTCTCACATTCGCCAAACAGCGAGGCGGTGCTGATCTGTCTGACGGGGCCTCTAAGTGGGAAGCTGAACGGTTTGCTGCTGGTATCCACACAGAAAGGACCGCTTCTGTGGTGCTGCAGCTCCACCTTGTGAAAGTCTGCAGGTACTGTGTTAAGGGCAAGACGCATTTTATCCAATGATGGCTGCAGCCATGGTTATGTGAAATCCTGGCTTTGACCCAGTGAGTACTTTAAAAGTGAAAGAGGTTTTTTTTTTTAAAATGGTTTTAAGATCATTGTGGACCCAAAATATTTCTGACAGTGCTGCTTTAGAAGCTTCCTAAATCCAAACTCAAGGATACTGAGGGTATTCAGTGCAGGGTTTCCAGGATAGAGGAGGCAGCCATGCTGAGAGCCACCATCACTCTGTGAAAAGGGAACGAAACTCAGAGCACCCCCTGTGGTTCCTTCGGAGAACAGCAGGCGGTCCCTCTGCTCCGCCAGCTCATCGTACAGCAGTGAGCCGAGCAGCTCTGGAGGGATGGAGTGCACCACGTCATACAGCTGGCAGCTGTGCCGGGCCAGCTTCCGGCAGGGATACTTCTGCTCGCACCTGCGTGGGGAGGGGTAAACGTGATTAAAATAAAACTAAAAGAAAGCTTCGACATCCAGGAATTTCAACCAATCAACTCAACTCACATTTTAACCTTCAGCAAATCCAGGAAGTAGGTCACCCTCCCCATCCTCACTGCATCCTTAAAATATTTCTGCAATCAAACAGAAATCTGATGACCAATGACTGCACGGCTTTCTTCTGTGTTTATATACAAATGTTTACGTTAAACAAAATCTGTTGTTAATGTTTGCTTGAAACTCTCAGCTCAAGATCCAACACAACAAAAAGAACAAGGCTCCACCTTTTGGCGATAGTCAGCACTGCAATCAACACCATAAAAGCTGCATTGTTACTATAGCCCAGTTGGTTTCTGGGCTATAGTAACAATGATGCTTGCTAATGAATACATCCTGACTGAGTGGATCAATTCTGGCAATGACTTAAAGAGTTGAGAAAGGTGTGCATGGTATCTGGCTCCAAGCAATAATTTTATTCTTAGAACATTTATACAAAAGTGAACAATGTTTAGGACCAGAAAACAAACATTTTAAGTCTGTGGCTCCAGTTTGTTTACATTTCACTGGATGTTGATTTCTGAGCCTTTGTGCATTTCCTCTTTTTCACCTGTCTTCTGCTGTAAATGGCATCAGTCCCAAAAATGCTGTAAACCTCTTTCACCTCTGTCTTCTGGCACTCTGTTAAAGTGTGGCTTTTGGTTGCTTCTGTTAAATATCTTAAAGACCAGATTAATATTTGGAGCCAAACAATGCAAATAATTTGAAACTAAACTGCCCTTTACATTAAGGTTCTGTTTGTGCTGTATTAAATTTGCCAAATCATCCATCTTCTTCAGTGAATCATTCATCCTGTACTGCAGCTGGTAATCCATATTCTGCTCCACAGCCTCAGTGAGTTTGCCAACTGCATGAAATCCACCTGCTGGATGGAGTGGCCCTCCACCTCACCCAAGATTGTGGTTTTGGAGTGTGTATAAACACAAATCGAGCTGAATGATATCCACTCAATCAGCGGCAAGGAAAACAGCAACTACCTTTTCAAAGGAAGAGTCATAATTTGTTCACTGTGTTCTTTTGGGCTGATAAAATAAATAAATAATTAAATGCTCAAATGAGACACCACATTAAATGTCCATAAAATCAGGGTGTGATTTTGATCACATCTGAAGTAATTTAACCCTATTGTGACGACACCCACCTCTTTTTGCCCTTTTAGCTTAAAGGAGAAGTGTTCGGACAGAACGTTGCTCATGCAGCCGAAGGCGTCCAGGGAGTGATCCATGAAAAAATTATTCATCTAAACACAAAGAAAAGATGAATGTTTGTTAACACGAGTCATCTGGGACTGTTTGTTCCCTTTAATGCTGATTAGAAATTAAACAGTTCTTCACTGCCCAGACAATTCAGTTTGTTAAACTGGAAAAAATATATGAAACAAAAAATAGACACAACTTAAAAATAAAACCAAACCAAAAACAAAAAAACCCTAAAACAAACAAACAAAATAAAATTTTGTCTCTTTGTGATTTTATGATTTAAACTGGCTCACTTACATGCTCTGTGAAGTTCATTGGATCCGGAGGTGTCAAAGGCGAAAGAATAGCTAAAAAAAAGTTAAAATTAACTTACATATATGTGGAAAAACACATTCAATGGAAGTCAAGAGTATCTGAAAGAGAAAAACTGCTCTATATTCTGGGCACACCCTTTATCTTCCCTTAGATGTTAAAATCTGGTCCTGAGCTATGACAGCTGTCACTGCAGTTTATTAAGGAGTCTGAACCAGAGGAGCATCTGCTGACTGAGGACTAGAGCTGGGCGATAGAACGATAACGATATGTATTGCGAAATAACTTTTTCTCGATAGAAACTTTTAACTATTGCGATAGACCTCACCGCTCTTGTCCTCTTAAAAAAAAGGGGAAAAAAAAGAACAGACAATCCAAATTAAGTAGCGCAGAGCCGAACCAATCACAGCTGCAGCGTCACGTCATGTAACTTGTTATGTACAGCACAAGTGCCAAGCTGCACATGTGTATTTGTCTGGGAAGCAGCCAGCCGCCGTGCCACCCCAGGTAATGGAGGAAATGAGTGTGCCGACTAGGGAAAAATCAACCGAGAGCGTGACCGAAGAGAAAACAGATGATGGTTCCAATGCCGGAGAGATTGTCGAACGGAAGAGCCATAGAAGTTCCGTAGTGTGAAGGTATTTCGGCTATTTCAAGTCTGACAAAAACAGAGCAGTGCGCACTGTAAATTGTGCCGAAAGCAAGTCTGGAAATACAATAAACTGGTGCATGCTCAATCTCTGACTGGAAGCGCTAATTCGTCATTCGGCTTTTGTCAGACTAAAGTAACTGTTAAAACTGTTTGAAAAGCTAAGTTATACAACAAGGAAAGATTGAGAATTTCCTTTTAGTTCTCAGTTTATTTAATATTGACAAAAGTTAGTTTGTTTTACAGAAGAACAGACAAAATTGACTAAGATTTATTTTTAGAATTAATATTTTGTTTCTAAGTGGAATTGACAATTTAGTCTGTTTCGTTTGTTCTGTTTTGAAACTTAAACGCTTTAGCGGCTGCCTTTTGTGTAGTTTGCAATATTTGCCTTTATTTATCTGAAAAAGTCTCATGTTCCTTAAGTACATCTACCCTGTTGAACTTATTATGGGAAATAAATATTTAAATAAAAACAAGCTGCTGATTATTTCACATTTTACTTGTGAGCACATTTAAATCTTACAAATATAGTTATTTGGCTTATATCGTGATAGATATTGTTATCGCCTCAAATGAAAAACCATATCGTGTTATGAAAAAATCTTATATCGCCCAGCTTTACTGAGGACTCACCGTGTTTAGGAGCCAGGAGGGGGACCGGCACAGGCTCGACTTGACGCCACAGCTCCCCTCCGACCTGATGCCTGGATGTGAAAGTCCAGGTGGAGAGAGGACCAGAACCAACCTGAAAGTGCAACCACATCCAACACGAATAAAGTTGGAGCCTAACATTTAACACCCCCACAGTTACAGTCAAGCCACCTGCTGGGTTACAAAAAAGAGAAAGAAATATATTAAAAAATCTCTTAAGTTGTAGTTTAAGCCAAAAAGGGGCCGTAACAGTTCTGTAACTCGGTAGGTGTAAACCACATGGTTGCCGATAAATAAAAATAAACAAAGACATTAACAGGAGAATTTGTCACACACATTACTATGATAACTTAACCTCAGTTTAAAGACCTTAAACATAAATATTGCTACGATCTAGTATATTTTACCCCTTGAATTATCATATAAGCAAAGTTATAATTATTTTCCCTGCAGGAATGCGGACAGATCTGGAGTCACGGAATTATCCACGTGGGACCCACCTGAGGTTTGACCTGGTCGTAGCTGGCCCAGCCTCCAGCATTGTGTTTCTGCACCAAATTCGGCGGCCCGCAGTTATAAAACGATGGAAAAAGCTCCTGTGGGAACTGGTAATCCATGTTTGTTTAATGTTAAATCATTCAAACTGCGGTCGGGTTTTCCGTTGTCCACGATGCCTGTCTGTCTCTCTGTCGGTGTTGAAGAACAAGTTCGGGCATGTTCAGCTAACGTTAGCTATCCCGCCGCAGGCAGCGAGCGCGTGTTTCTATTTATTTTCGTCTGAACATCGTGACACCCGCTCAGAGGTGCTAAACACGATCACATATAAACACACGGGAGTCCAAAACAGACCACGTAGACATCAAAATGACCCCAAATCCTCAGTTAGTCCACCAACACGTGTAGACCCCCTACGACAAAACTACCGGAAGTCAAGCTTTACAGCTGGCGCCAACAACAACAACAAATACAATGACTTCCGGTTAGCTTAAAAAGACAAAAACAAAAATTCCAAACTTAAATGAAAAATGTCATGAGACTTACACAAACGAACAACGCCCCCTCCACCCACCCCCAAAATAAAACAAACAAACAAAAAAAACAACAACATGAAAAACAGGCGTTTAATTTTGTAGGACTATTTAAAGGAAATCCCAAGTGAGAAAACACCACCGCCAACACTAAAATAAATAAAGTTGATGGTCGTTTTATGGAAAAAATTACAAAACCCCGAGGATACCGGAAGTGTTCGGTTTCATTTCAAAAGCGAGCAAAATTTCAAAGTAAAGCTTATTTTAACCGATCGCATCAAGGCGATAGACAAGAGTCATACTTTTTTTTAAAAAATCTGCTTTTATTATTTTAGTTTTATTTACGGCGTTGTAGTTAGTTCCAATTAAATTCAAGAGCTATTGTATTGTATTGTATATAATATTTACAAATTAAACTGAGATTGAAACTAAATACATTATTCTCTATAATTTAGTGGTATTTTAATTATTACTATCATTTTGCTGTGTTGTTGTATTTAAGGCTCCATATCGCTGTCAAACTTTGCATTATTTTAGTTATTTAAAAAAGTGTTTCTTTAAAATTTTGTTTTTAGGTGTGGCACGATGATATCACATCTAGCCATTTCATTGTATTTTATTTTTGCACCCGGTTATAGTTTTCCGCTGATTTTTGTGGATTTCTGCATTTTAGGAGCCACAACTTATAACGAATTCCCTGCGCATTTTGTTTTATTTTGAAAACCGTTTACCGGATGCGGCTCCTCGGTCGTCCTATGGTCAGCTGACCGAGCATCTCTGAGCGTCTTTAGGACAAACAGACGAAACGAGTCAAGAAAAGGGTATTCCTGCGTTTTATTTTCCCACAGAGGGAACCGTTTACCACTCAGCCCCACTGTTAGTGGGAAATGTTCCAGTAGGCCGCTGCTTTTGGTGAGTAAAAGACGTTTTAGCGCTGTTTTGGTTCCGTTAGCTGCGCTGCTAACCTGGAAGTCCCGACATTGCAGGTGTAGTTTAGCCTCAGCGTCTCAGACATCATTGCGCAGCTGGTGTGCAGCATCCTTTTAATCACTCATGGGTAGATTTAAGATCAAATGTCCGCTGCTGGTATTTTTCCAGCTGCCAGCTTAATAGCTAGCCTTGGATTAAACATCTCCGTTTTATCCAAACGTGTTAGCTTTAAACCCGAGTGACACCAAGGTTACTGATGATGGCTTAATTACGTTTACGTTGTGTGTGTGTTATTTGTCTGGCTTTATTGCTCTTTTGTGTGTGGGTGACTGTCTTGAGACTGATGGTGTGTTTGTGTCGGACTGGAGCAGCTGGATTAACCTTTTTGACTCTCAATAGTAGAGGAGCAGAAATATGATGTAAAGTGAGCACGTGGCTGTACTGCCTGTGAAAACGTTTCTGATCGCGTTTCAGGGGCCACTGTTTGGGTTAATGCCAGAATTTCACTTCCCACTCGGGAGTTACTCTTAGTAACTCAGTTTCCAAGTCCTTCTGGTTATCAAGCTCACTATCGGTATACCCATGGCTGACCTGGTGGAAAGCATCATGAAGAATCTGCACTTGTAGGAGGAGGTCTTCCTGAACATCTCTCGTGTCCTGGGCAACAGCAGCTTAATAGTTTCCCATGAAGCATGGTTTTTTGAGCCATGACTGCAATTTGTATCCTGATATTTGTGCCACAGTTTTATTTATTCCTTTGTACAACCTCATTACTTCAGGTTTTGGGCCACCATTTAATTTGTAGATTGGTTTATGAGTTTCTGGGTTCATGCCTCTGTTTAAGTACTTACCTCAGGATTTTGGACCACAGATTCATTCGTTCGTTAATTTTTGAGCCACAGCTTTGGTTTGCACCTCAGTTTTTCTTTAGTGGGGATGAGTAAATGATGAGTGGGGATGAATGATCCTAGTTTTCACTACTCCAGCATGGTTTAACTTTGTGAGTGTGCTGGTCCAAAGTCCTGAACTCTTGAGCTCCCACAGTGAGAGTATCAGGAGGCTCTGTTGTTGCTTTTGAGTAATCTTGTCACCTTGGAGCTAAGGGTCACTGCAATCAATACTAATGCTGATTGGAATGATTGCCTGATTTGCCTCACGTGATTAAACATGTGGTCTCCTCCAGGATGACATTGGCTCTGTTTATGGATCAATAAATGATTTAATGGCGATCAAAAGGATGTAAATAAAATGTCACTTTACAAGGCAGAATCAAACTTCCTGCCCTGTTATTGCTTAACTGAAGTTGTGGTTTTTTTTAACAGTCATTCTTGCTGACTTCTTATATGTGTTGTTCTGCATGATTGTTGTTATTTTTATCATGATTTTGTTGGGTCTCTGTATTGTGTTTTTTGAGTTGTTGTTTAAAGGAAAACTCTCCAGCGCTCTTTGCATAAGATTTGTTCTTGAGTCACATCACTTGCAGAATATCCGGAGTATGATAATGATCTGCACTGAGGGATGAACTCTTCACCTTCTGTTGTCACATGTTTGAGTTTTGTTGTTTTTCCGTCTTTTAATGGAGTGTTGCTCTTACAGACTAATCCAGAAAACTTGAAGCTCACTGCACCACACAGCTTGTTTTGTTGGCAGAGCAAGCATTTTTTAATTATCACTTGATCGTATTCATTTCATTGTGGGAAACCAAAGTTATGATTTCAGATTAAAATTATATTTATTGTGCAGACCTGCTACAGAACAATGCTAAACTGGAAGCTGTCTGTCTGCATACGAACTGTTATCTTTAAATCTAAATTTCATATTTGTTGCAAACCTTTCTTCAGACTGACAGCAGCCATCCTCAGGCTTTCTAGCAGTGATACCTGCAGAGGGAGAGCTGCAGAGATCGCAGGGTGTGCTTGGGTAGATTTATCTCACTGCTTTAGTAACTTATTACAATTTGGACTGTAAATATAAACACACTCAAAGATTTGTTCCTGCAGAACAATTTTTTAAACTTGACAAGTTTAAAAAGGTATTCCCATGTGAAATGGGTCATAAATGATCATTTCAGTAGTATTTTAGCTGTTTGAGATTTAATCCTGGTTCTGATTGTGTCCTTAGATAATCAGCTTTATTTGCTGGAGTAAAATCAAACTTCCTCCTGATTGTTGTGCATGAGCATGAGATCCAAAATGCACCAATCAAAACTGTTCCAGGTTGCTGTTACCCACGAAGTCATTCAAACATGTAAATGTTGCTAAAACCATTAAGCTAAGGCAGACTTCTGCCACACTGAAGCCTCATTGTTTCCTCTGTTTCTAGACACCTCACCATAATGTCGGGGAACAACTTGGTTCTACCCATAGTGCTCTGGGGCCGCACAGCTCCCACACATTGCATCAGCAGTCTGCTGGTGATGGATGACTTTAGCACCATCATCACCGGCTGCCACGATGGACAGATCTGTCTCTGGGACATGACGCCTGAGCTGGAGGTGAGTGTTTGTGCTCCAGCTTTATTCAATCTGCTTCTTCTCCTCCTCTCATCAAACACTCTGCTCCTCTCTTATGTTTCCTGCTCAGATTTGTCCCAGGGCAATGCTGTTTGGTCACACAGCCTCCATCACCTGCCTGTCTAAAGCGAGTGCATGCAGCGACAAACAGTACATCGTCAGTGCATCTGAGAGCGGGTGAGCAATCGTGAAGCGTGCTTCCATGAGACTTCTTTTTGCTAACTTTTATATAACACGTTCATGTGGGTTGTATGTACAGTCGCTGTGTGTACACCTTTCTTTTCTTGTGATTTTTATTTTTTAACTTGTGTCTTAAAGTATTTTCATTTCAGTGCTGAGGCTCAGTTGCGGAAAGATTTGTCAGAATAGTTTTGGGAATAAACTCTGAAGCCTGGTATTTAAATTTGAGCCTTTTCATCCTAAATATGTGTCACATCTGCCCTAATTGTTATGCCCGTACAGTGGTTACATGTTACAGACATAAACTGTATAAACGACAGGTTTTGGGACTCTAATGTGGTCCATTTATTTGTCCTATACTGAGACTTTATTACCTTTTGCTTTTTGGTTTATTGGAGCCAGAAGTCCACATATTTGGATGAAAGGGTGGAGTACGAGGCTTTTACAGATGGAACTGGCAGACACGTGCATCTGTTAATAGATCAATAACACACTGATCTGTTAATGACCTGTTAACAGATGGGTGTACTGTGATCCCTATAAAAGATAAAGCTCTCTATAGAGGCAGAGTTCTCTGTAACAGTCTGTAAAGTCCTGTAAACTTGGGTCTTTTAATATGGGAGTCTATAAGCGACTGACTCACTTATGGACATAAAAGGAACTGCACTCTTTGGATTTATTTCTCAGTCTCAGAGGTTGCTGCTTGCCTTTTTTGATTAAATAAGCGTTATAGCTGTCCTAAATGAAGTTGCCGTTGTGTTTCTGCTGTGATGATTTGTTGTAGGAGGTTTAGTTTGGACAGGGTGATGCATAAAATTTAAAAACAATGAAATAAGTCATTACAACATATAAATAATTTTTTTTAAAGCATAGCTTCTAAGCCAGCTCTGAGCCAAATTCCAACAAATGCATAAGTGTGAGAAATGTGAAAAAGTCTGAGAGGAAGGCACTGGTGCAGGACAGCACATCAGTGGTAAATGTGTATTAGACTGCCTGACTTCACGTCCAGTCATTTTCAGAGCTGGATGTTTTTGAGATGAGGCATTGTTGGTGTACGAAAGGGACCATCTCATGTACTGCAACCACTGTGGTTTTCTAAAAGAATGCAGTCCATTTTACTACAACCATAATTAGCTTAAAACAGATTAGGCTTCTGTGTATGAGGAAGCTCTTCAAAGTACATTAATGTGTGACAGCAGCTTTTTGACCTTACAGGGAGATGTGTCTGTGGGACGTGAACGATGGACGCTGTATTGAGTTCACAAAGCTGGCATGCGCTCACATTGGCATACAGGTAACACACACACACACACACACACACACACACACACACACACACACACGTATGCAGTGAATGATCATCAGACATCAAGATGTTAAACAGTACATTTGCATAGCACTGATTCAGCCTCGCCTTATTTATTCAACCCAAATACAGTCTGATTGGTTAATTATGTCAGGTGTTTTCTACTTGGCTTCTTTTTTTATGGTAATAATAATAATAATAGATTGCATTTATATAGCGCTTTTTTTAGGCACCCAAAGCGGTTTTACAATGCCACTATTCATTCACACACTGGTGGAGGCAGCTACAGTTGTAGCCACAGCTGCCCTGGGGCAGACTGACAGAAGCGAGGCTGCCATACCGCGCCACCGGCCCCTCTGGCCAACACCAGCAGGCGGTAGGTGAAGCGTCTTGCCCAAGGACACAACGACCAGGACAGAGAGAGCTGGGGGATCGAACCGGCAACCTTCCGGTTACAGATGAGCTTCCCAATACTATTGTAAACTAGTGTTTACTGTAGGGTTTTCATAATGAGAGCATACAAAGGGAATGGTTGTGCTCTTTCCCTAAGCTTTAAGGTGTATTTCCCTTTTCCCTGAAAAAAGGGGAAAAAAGCTCAGGTGGGAAAAAAAAAAGGTGAAAAGTATTTAACCAGCACACAAAAGCCTAATGTTACCTTCAGGAAAAAAGTAGAGACCAAAATTAAACCACAAGGTGATTGAAAAGACCTTTAATCCAGATCATTTCATCTTCACTCCCCTCCTTCTCTGCCTCCTCTTCAGTACTACCAGTTCACCATCGGCACTCAGAGGGAGGGGCGTCTCCTCTGTAATGGCCACTACCCAGAAATCTTGGTGGTGGATGCCACCAGCCTGGAGGTCCTGTACTCGCTGGTGTCTAAAATCTCTCCTGACTGGATTAGCTCTATGAGCATCATCCGATCCCACCGCACACAAGGTGAGAGTTTCCCTCAGGTTCACTGCTTTGAATGTTAGCTTGCAGACTGCCCTGCACAAAACATCATCGCTGTGGACTTCTTCATGTTTGTACTTGTGAATAAGCTATGTTCTGTCTCTGTGCAGAGGACACGGTTGTGGCGGTGTCAGTGACGGGCATCCTGAAGGTCTGGATCATAACACCTGAGGTCAGCAGAATGCAGGTACACCTCCATACAGGTGTTTATTAAAACGCGCATCAGGCTTCAGTTACACCATCGTAAATGAAGCTGTAAATAAAGTAAAGAAGAAAACACAGACCTCCCCAGTCCTACTTAGATTAGAATATCATAGACTGTATACAAAAGATAGATGTGGCCAGCTTGATGTCACCCACTGGTTTCTGGACAGCTTTAAAAAGGTACCAGCATTTAGTGGAGGTCAGGCCTAACAAGTTTACTAGAGTCTGTTTCAGCATACCTGTCGCACCCCTAATTTTAAAGTATTATAATCTGATGGAGGAGTGTCAATAGTCTAAACATGTTTATTTCTGATATAAAGTTGGACATTTAAACATGAGTCTGTGGAGAGTCGCTCACTTTTGGAGCCAGCCTCAAGTGGACGTTAGAGGAACTATAACTTTTGGCACTTCAGCCCAGGAGGTTGTTTAAAAATCAAGGAAAAAAATACTTCTTTTCTGTGTCTCCAGCATCGATGCATGGCTCTGCTCAGGATCTAACTTGTAATTTCTTTTTCTGTTTTTTCAGGACTTGGACCCTGTGTTTGAAGAGGAGTCCAAACCGATCTACTGTCAGGGCTGCCAGAGCATCTCCTTCTGCACCTTCACTCAGAGCAGCCTGCTGGTCGTGTGCTCCAAATACTGGAGGGTAAGAACCTGCACGAACCACTCGGGGGTTGTTTTTGCTGGCATGATGGTCACAGTGGTGATTGAGCGTGATGAAATGCTCCTGTGTCTGGTTACCTATTTTAAACTGATCAAAATAGATTGAACAAAGTTGGTAGAGTGAAAGAAAGGTTATCATGTAATACCATTTAAGCCAGTCACATGAAGCCTGTACTATGTAGGAGGTAACTCGAGGGTTACCCTTGGGTTTTCTATACTATGAAGATGGTTTACTTCTTACTGGGTAAATCATTATGGTATGCTCCACCTGCTGTTGGAGCAGTGCAGTGTACCTGTTGTACAGAGAAATGAGTTTTATATGTGCAGCTTTTTAAGTCATACCCTACTAAAGCCAATGATTTAACCAAACTTTGTGTCAACTGCGCATGTATTAAGGTGGTGAGTTAGGAAATGTATAAAATGTTGTCATACTTGATTATAATCTGCTGGTAAACCTCTTTTATTCCGCTGGAAGTGCATCCAAAAGAAACCAGGAAAAACTCTGTACTGTGGTCCCTCATTTATCTCAGGTGTTACATTCTAAAAGTAACCCGCGATAGGTGAAATCCGAGAAGTATCCAGCTTTATTACAATTATTATAGACGTTTTAAGGCTGTAGAACCCCTCACTACACACTTTATACACTTTTCTCAGACAGACATGAACATTTTCACACTTTTCTCTCCTGTTTAAACACTCTCAAAGTTCAAACCTTCGTAGAAAAATAAGTCATGTATTATAGAGGAAACAAGAAGAATGAGTTGATTAAAGCTTGACTCACTTTGCTGTTTTGTTTCGCTTAATGCGCCTTATAATCCAAAAAACACGGTAACCTCTACCTTCCTTTAGCATGTCCAGAATTCCAACTTTTTGTGCGATGGTTAGCAACATTTTGTCGACATTGTTGTGTTTGTTGGGGAGAAAACATGCATACAACATACAAACATGCAGTACAGCACTTCACTCACACTGCTAGCGATCGCAGATTTATGTAAATTTGACAAGCTGAACACATTCTGTACTGGACAGGAGACACGGCATGGAGGAGATTGACTATGGTCTACAGCCGATCTGGACGCAGCACACAATGCGCTGTTACCCCCCCCCCCCCCCCCCCCCCCAAGAAAGAAAACAAAAACAAAGATACAGCCATAAGATTTGCACACAAAAAATCCGCGAAACAGCGAGGCCGCGAAAGGTGAACCGCGTTATAGCGAGGGACCACTGTATTTGAGTCACACGTTACACTTATGAGACTTTGACTGGTGTTTTTCTGTTTGAAATGTGTGAAATTAACACCCTGATTAAGGCTTGTGTGTTCAGAGTATTAAAAACTGCTCATCCACGGAGCTAAACATACACTGAGGATTTTGATGATTTTCTAGCCCTGCTACCACAGAGGAGTGCTGATGGTTCTCTACAATATCATCACACAGCAGTCTGAAGTCTTGGCCTGGACAGATGGTTATGTTAATGAATTTTTGTCTGTTTCAGGTGTTTGATGCGGGCGATTACTCCCTGCTCTGCTCGGTGTCCAACGACAACGACCAGTCCTGGACGGGAGGTGAGTTCATCGCCGCGGACAAAGTCATCATCTGGACCGAGGATGGTTGCAGCTACATCTACAAGCTGCCAGCCAGGTAAGCCTGCCGCTCATCTGTCATCACTGCAGGAAAAAGACAGGTTCATCGTCATGACAATTTAACCTAAACATGTCTTTGTGTTTCTTAGCTGCCTGCCTGCTAGTGAGCATTTCCGCAGTGATGTTGGGAAAACCAAAGAAGGTTCGATCCCTCCGCTGGTGTACAGCATCGCTGACCGCTCAGACAAACAGGTGAGTCCTCCATCCGCCTCAGATTGCATGCGCAGGGAGGAAGACGGGAGATTCAATGATTTCATACCAAGTAAATACAGGGCTAGTGTTGCAGATATAGCTACTGATACCGATGCTTTGAACTTATAAGGCAGCCTCTGTTCTTTAAATGGTTTATAGGCTATAAATAGAATAGACTTGACGGGGGCGTCATTTGATTAGTTTAAAAAACTTTGAGAAGTGAGTGAATGAGATCCTAAACACAGTTTGAGAATAACACAGGTAAAACAACATTATTATTATTATTATTATTATTATTATTATTATTATTAAGACATGTTTAAGCTAAAAACTTTATACTGCATTTCAGCATTGAGCCTCCATCAGGAAATGTATTTTCACAACTAAAAGTTATGAACTCCAGTTATTCACATTAACTTTCAGTAGTCGGTAAGTCAGCAAACCTGTAACCTTATTGTGCAGCAAACCAGCAGGCCTGTCCTGCTTTTAGCTATGTAAAGCCAACCTAACGTGGTACTAGCTGTCTACTCTGCAATAATATTGATAAATGTGGTTCTTGAAGTCTTCAGGATGCTTTGTCTTGTCTATATGATTTATTCTATGTGAGGTTCACTTCATGCACCTGGATTAGTACACCTGGTCGTGTATTCAAGATTACAAAAAAGCCAGCAGAGATCAGGTCCAACAACAGTTGCAGATATGACCTGTTGTTCCAGGCGGTAGCTCATCCCTGTTTACACTTTATTCCTTTAAAGCTTTTAATTTGAAACCGCTGCGGGAAATGTAAATGAAAGGTCTCATCTTGATCCGTGTGCATGAACCTGACTCTGTGTTCTGTTCCTTTCTGGTTTAATTTCCTCAGTTTTTTTTCATGTGTGTATTTATAATTTGTCGTCTTGTTGGTATTAATGTGTTGTCTGTGCCTTTTTTGTTACTTTTGCTGTTTCTACCTTATGCTCCCTCCCTCGCTCCTCTCAGAGGGAAGGAGAGGGAGGTGAGGAGGAAGAGATGGTTTTGGAGGTGAAGTGCTTCCCTCCCAGCGGGTACGACTTGGAGCTCTACATCCCAGAGCCGTTATTCCACCACCGGCCTCTAGAGGCACCTGTAAGCCCAAGAAAAATACATGGTGAAAGCGAAGGCAGGAAGAAGAAGGTTTCACTGTCATGGCTAAGCTGCAAAAGCTACAAGAGGCAGAATAAGAGTTTTTAGAATTGTATTCCTTACTTTGGAGAAGCCAGAGCTGAAAAATGCTCGATTAATCTTTCTTTCGAGCTAATTTGTGATATAAATTATTCTTAGGGTCCAGGTGGGGTCAAAAAGATATTATTTTGAAATGCTTGGAGCATTTACAAACTGACTTTGGGACTTTGCAGCTCATCCAGAAAGTGACAACCAGGTGAGAAGAGCGAACTGTGAGAACAGCAGTGAAAGTGTTGATGTCAGCTCAGTGGCTCACATTTTTCAGCTCACACTTTTCAGCCGTAAAAACACACCATCCCATGTCATCAGGGGGTGCAAAAGTCCTTTAAACACTAGGTAAAGACCCAACACTATTAGAGGGAAAACCTTAACAATCAGAACATCTGCTATGACCAAACACTTGACAACAGTGGAGAGGAAGAACTGCTTTTTCTTCCAGGATCATGGAGGTGCAGGTCTCCGATTGCTGTAGCCATTTCCGGGTTCAAATGTGCCTTCAGTTCTTAAAAGAAAGCAAACATTGAGGCACCACTAAGACAAATGCTTTTGATTGGTTAGTGAAGTTTGGCTTGTTGACATAGTGATGTGGTGCGTGGTGGGCAGATGTTTCCAAAAAAACCCAGATGATCCTGATGTGCCATTTTACTTGGGGAAAATCTAGGAAACACTTTTAAATCTGCAGTCTGAGAGTGACTGAGAGTGTTGGGATACTGTGGGTCTATACGAGGCCTGTAAGATGTAATGGGACCTGATCATTCAGGACTTTGTTTATCAGAAGAATATACTGAATTTTATATTTTATATATTTGAAAGCGTAGACTAATTCCTGATGTCAGTGAAGCTGTGGCTTAGGTTGTACATAAAATGGCAGTGGTCCAAGAATGAGTCCTTGAGGAACGCCATCATAATAGAAAATGCTAGAAATATGGTAATATCTGTAAGTTTGCTAGGAAAACAAACCACTGACGGCTGCTGTTTTGCTTGTAAGAGGTAATTAGTTGTTTTGAGAGTGAGCTGCTGAGTTGATGACTATTTGAGTGAACTGCCTGTTTTTGTTTGCTCCGCTCTTTGTTTTCCTTCCTGCCTACCCAACTGATGGACTGAACTCACTCTGGTTCACCTGGTTTCACGCTCTCCTCCCACTAAAGCAAAACTTGTCCTCCAAAAGCACCATCACCCTCCTCATCTGTCTTCATGCTGATGAAGATGCATGCAAAGTCCCCCAAGCTGCTTTCTAAGCAAATAATGACCCGCTGAGTCCCGGAGGTCATAACAAACCAAAGGCGCACAATGGGTCAGCCACAGTCAAATAGCCAAAAACTCTACGTTATTTGTGAGGTGTTGATAAATAATAAAAAAAAGATATTTAGCTTTCATGGGAACAGCTTTTTTCCCCTGTTAGGGAAGCTACAGAGTGGTTGCTATAATTACCAATGTCCTTTATTTGACAAATGTCTTTGTTTTCTTTTATATGTCTACATTTTCGATAACACAGCAAAAAGGTGGTTATTATCTTGGCATAATGGAAAAGATGGCCATGGTCCACATCAAATGCGAAACATTTCATTGAAGTGAATACCAATTTTTGGTACTTTTACAATAATGCTTTTTAAAAAATGTGACACATAATTGTAATATGGTGCACAGAACTCGCAAACATAACCAAAGCCAGCGTGAGCTCCAGCGCTAGGGCCGACTTCCTATGATCACCACCAGCTAAATAAATAATCCAAATATAAAATGTAATTTTATATTCATCTGGTGTGATATAATATTTAATGTGATGTAATAATAAGTTATTTACTGTAAATAATATTGTGTTGCTCAGGTGACATTTGTCAGGTCAGCCACAATGAAAAGTGTCATTCTGAAAGAATGAAGTTGATCTAGAACGAGAGATTTTCTAAACTAAAATCAGATTTTTGATTTTCATGGCCAAATTTCCAAAGCTTTTTTTTTTTTTTCCATCATCCTTGGTCTAAAATTCTCTTTCCTGGTTGGCCTTTAATTTAGAATTTACAAATAAATTTTTTTAGTAGTGGCATTAATTCTGTACAGTTTTGCTCACTTTTTCTTTTTGCATTAAATATTAAAATAGGTTAAAAGAAATTCAGGTTACAGGTCACAGAACTCTGAATATTGTGTTTCTAGTTATCCAGATGAATGAGGTGCAGTGGGTGGGTGTCCCGTCTCTGTTTTTCTTGCTTCCTCTCTGGTGGTTTTTGCTGAAAACTTAAACTCTCCTTGCTGTTTAATTGTTTGCATCTTTAGTGAAAGATGTGGTTTGGTTTGTGTGTGTTTGTGTGATATTTGGTGGCACTTTGCATACCCTCACTGCTCGTCCACAGCGCTCAGATGAGCTGAACTAACTGATCGTTCTTCACCCCCTCAGCCATTACGCAGTGACGCTACGCCCGCAGGTTCACCGGCTTTCATCATCGCAACCCCCCCCACACGCCTGCCAGCACCCCAAACTGCACTCTGAGAATTGTTCTCGCACTGCTCGTCACATTAATTAGTTTTCACTCTTTATTACTTCATGTATTCATAATAGATGTAAGTCAGCCCAGTTTTGGTTAGCGGTGGATTGCTTGTGTTTTTTAGGCAGTAAAAGCTCTGCTGCCCTCCTCCCATCTCCACCATTTTCAGTAACCTTTGGATTTTTTTTTTTTTATTTTTTTAAATAGTATGAAATGCTAAAGTGTGATTCTAGTTGCGTTTATTCTCTCCCGGAGAGGTCAGTTTTATCCTGATGTCCAGAATTATTGAGCCAAGGAACAGAATCTGCTCAGATTTTTGGTGATACTCAACCAAACTGATGTCATCTTTTACTCTGCTCTACAAATTTTTACTTCAGAGCCTTGTATCAGGCTCTCATATAACCAAGAGATGGCGCTGAGACAGCCATCCATGAGTTCGGCTTATTTCATCCCAGAGTTAGAAAATAAAAAACAAAACAAAAAAACAGTGGTTGGAGCGCTTGTAGATCAGAGATGTGTGGTTCTGCTTTTCTGCAGTTTGCTGTGTGTTGTTGTTGTTGTTTGAAGACAACCTGAGAGCAAAACCAACCATTTCAGCTTCACTTGGCTCTTAAATTTAAGCTCAGCTTACAAATTCAGCATATTCCAGTATTGGTGGAAGTGTTCTGGCCAATTGGAGAGCCTTTAAAGATGTTTTCCAGCTGTCACCGGGGAGCTTTGAGGCATCACATCTTGTTGGTGTTGACATGTATTTTTTCCTGCCTTCCTCAGCTCCTCATCTGCCCTCCTGTGACCCGCTTCTTCTTCAGCCGGAGGGAGCCCTTCCATAAGCTGCTGATCCAGGGTGACTCGGCGGGCAGAATGACCCTGTGGAGCATCCCGGACACCTCGCCTCTGCAGCCACAGTCCACCTCCACAGGTAAGGAAGGGGGGAAGATGGTGAGGTTTCTCTGGTAAAAGTCTTTTCATAAAACTTTGCTGTTTTTCTTGAACTTCAAACCTCAGCATGACGTTACGATGATCTCTCTTTTTTTTTTAGCTTTAAAGCAGCCCATTGTTAACGAGTTGGTACTAACGGAGGTTGTTTTTAGTCTGTTGGTCCAAAAATACAAACAAACAGAAAAACTTGATTCATAGAGTTTCTTTTCTTAAGAAAAATGTGGAAGAGAAAAAAGAAAAGCAGCATAGGTCCCCTTTACAAGATGCCTGATTGCATTGTTCAACTTTCTGGAGAGCTTATTCTTCATCCTCAAGTCCTTCAGAAGGCTGATCTCTAAACGAGTCCTTTGTCTGTTTGTATCACTGCAGAGCTGCAGGTGTCATTCACCATCAGCCTGCAGGAGGCATTTGATAAGCTGACCCCAGTGTCCTCGGGGATCATTGACCAGCTCAGCGTCCTGCCAGGCAAAGACGAACCCATTAAGGTCTGAACACAGAAAAGTTCTCATTAAATTATAAAAGAAGTTGTTTTAAAGATTCAAAATATTCTCACAGAGTTGAAAACTTTCAAAAATGAAAACAAACGTGTGTGTGTGTGGGGAACGTCCTTTTATTGTGTCCATCAACACGACCCCAAAATAACCTCTTTTGTGAGCACGTGTGCGATAGGGTTTACACAGTGGGGAAACTCTAAGAGAGTGTGTGTGCTTCACCTCAGGTGACGGCCAGCGTCTACATCCCCTCTCAGGGGCGCCTGGTGTGCGGGAGAGAAGACGGCAGCATCATCCTCGTTCCCGCCACTCAGACGGCCATCGTCCAGCTGCTGCAGGGCGAGCACATGCTCAGGAGAGGTGAGACAAACAAACTATACAGACACACTAACAAATCCAGGGAAGTTTTGTTTCAATTTGACTCCTTTTACATCAGTTAAGATTCATTTTCATGCCTATTTCTAGTTTTAGTTGACTTTAAAAACCTTTGACCTTTGTGTCGGTCTGTTCTGCAGGCTGGCCGCCTCACCGCACCCTACGAGGCCACCGCAACAAGGTGACCTGCGTCCTGTACCCATACCAGGTCTCGCCACGCTACGACCAGCGCTCGCTGGTGTCTGGGGGAGTGGACTTCTCCGTCATTGTCTGGGACATTTTCACCGGGGAGATGAAGCACATCTTCTGTGTCCACGGAGGGGAGATCACGCAGCTCATCGTTCCGCCAGAAAACTGCAGCGTAAGACCGCCACCGCACGGGTCTATGTCTGCTTTCAGGCTTTGTTCTGCCGTCTCTGCAACACTGTTTGACATTAGATTTAAATGTTACGAGGTTACAGTCGTCATCGTTACTGTGGAAATAAGTTGAGACCTTTGTGCTGTTGTGGTTTCAGAAGCCCACCTGAAACTACACAGAGAGGACTTCGTATTGTTTACATGACATTAAAATGAATGGTTGGAGATGTTTTGCTGCCATGGAAATCACAGTAATGCTGTTGAGTACAATGGCTGAGCTGTTACACACACAAGCTTTAATGAAGACATCAGATGGGCTTCTTCTCATTCTTTTAATAGTAAAGGGTACCTATTGTAACTGTTGCTCATGTCCTGTTCCAATTTGGTTCTTCATATTAAAGTAAACTGTGAGGCGGACGCTCAGGCTTCAGGATGCTCTAATCAGTTTCACATAGTTTGTTTCTACTCTTGGCTCTACTTGATGTCATAGAGAGCAGATATCTTTTTTTAACCAGTGATATCTGACTCCAGAGATCAGAAGACCTTTGCAGCAGTGCAGTCACTAATGACTAAAAAGGGTCATTCCATTTAAATTGAATCAAATCTGACATCTTGAGTGGTTTTAAATGCTTCGAAATCCTTGAAAATAAAATAATGTTAAACGATTCAGAGGCCGTATTGAGTTTCTACTCTGACTTATTGTCTGCTAACCTCTCGGTGACCTGCAAGCACTTCTTCAGATTCTATGCCTCACCTTGCTGCTGTGTTTCCTCTGCAGACTCGGGTGCAGCACTGCGTCTGCTCGGTGGCCAGCGACCACTCTGTCGGCCTGCTCAGTCTCCGGGAGAGGAAGTGCATCATGCTCGCGTCGCGGCACCTTTTCCCCATCCAAGTCATCAAGTGGCGCCCGGCAGACGACTACCTGGTGGTGGGCTGCTCTGACGGCTCTGTGTACGTCTGGCAGATGGACACAGGTAAGAACCAGAGGACCAGGAAGGAGGTGTTTTCACTGTACTAGAACATGGAAACCTTATGACTGTTAAGATACCGATCATAATATTCTATATTAGCCTGTTTGTTAGCTCAAAGGAAAACCTTTGCGAGCTGCTACCAAGGCTGAAAGGTTCAGGCTTGCAGTTTCCTCCTACTTCTAATCTTAATGCTAAGCATGCATTAAGGGGGGTGGGGGTGGGCGTGCTCTCTGCAGTTCCCCCAATGACCACTAGACACTGGCTTCAAAACAGTTAGTCCTCATACACTGATCAAATAATTAATACAAGCACTTTTCCTAAGATTCACATCCATATTCCAATAAACATGTCAGATAGCAGCTTGGAGCTCAGTATATTGGATAGGGATACTTTACCATGCAGACTAAAGAGTCAAACACAACCAACATTATAATAATAATGGATTGCATTTATATAGCGCTTTACAATTCCACTATTCATTCATTCACTCACTGGTGGAGGCAGCTACAGTGGTAGCCACAGCTGCCCTGGGGCAGACTGACAGAAGCGAGGCTGCCATATCGCGCCATCGGCCCCTCTGGCCAACACCAGTAGGCGGTAGGTGAAGCGTCTTGCCCAAGGACACAACGACTGAGACTGTCCGAGCCGGGGCTCGAACCGGCAACCTTCCAGTTACAAGACGAACTGCCAACTCTTTGAGCCACGATCGCCCCTAACCTTCTGATTAGTAGATAGCTGGTCAGCCTCCTGAACTACAGCCACCTAATAATCCCCCAAAACTCGTATTTGTGCCTGATGAACAGGTTTGCTTGTGTTGGCTGAACAATAACTTGGCTCTCGTCCAACAATAGCTCCAAAAAGTCAACATGGCAGCTACATCCTTTGTTTTTTTTTTTCCCCAGTTAACCTAATTTGAGCTCTGTGCTTAACAATATCCATCTTATCATCCTGACATGAAGAAATGAAGTGAACATCTTCCTCTGTACCTGCTAGCTCATGTGCAGTCTGCACCATGTGGCACAGCATAGAGGTAGCGTTAACTTGAATGATGACTGGGTACTGGAACTGTGTGTGTGTGTGTGTGTGTGTGTGTCCTGAATGAGCTGTAGTGCTGGGAAATTGCAGGGTATCTAAGTGTGAAATTAAGGAAGGTGTGTGTGTACTCAGGCGTTAGACATGTAATGGGGCCATGGCTCATGGGCCTTCATCACTCACACACACCTATACACACTCAGGTATAATGGTGCCACTTCTCCTCTCACTCAATACCAGAGCCAATACTGATGTCAGCTCTGTCTGCAGCTAATGATGTCTCTCTAAAGCCCGTCTCTTTCTATAAAGGTGGAGAATTGTTACACTGGAGAAGATCGTCTGTGACCTGAATCATATTCAAGAGACTATAGATAATGATTGTGAGTCTGAGATGGTGTGAGAGAGATTGGAAGATTGATATAAATAAAAGGAGAGTGCAAGGGCAAGAGGAGGGAGACTGATGGAAACAGAAGGCGAGTCTGTGTGATGAGAATGAAGAGAGAGAGTGAGAGAGAGAGAGGCTGAGATAAAATCATCGATGTGTCAGTTCATCCTGACGATGTCGTACAGGGTCGAGGTCAGAGCTCAGTGCAGTTCTGAGGCCCTGAGAACACAACGCACAACCCCACCTACTGTTCTGTCAAAGTTGAATCAAAACCATTGAGCTTCCCACAAACAAAGTGTGTTGGAAACCCTTAAAGTTTAGGGTTGAGTTGAAGATTTCAGAGATCACTATTGGAGCTCTTCATGGTCAAATTTCTACTTGGTATTAATGAACTGCTTCATCCATCATATGTAGCTCCTGGGTCTCTGAGCTCAGGGAAATGTTGGCTGTAGCTGGGTCCAATTTGCAGAAGTCTCTTTTTAAAAAGAAGCTTAAGACCCACCTGTGCAGGATTGCTTTAGTTTTATCCAGTGTGAAGCGTATTTTCTGTTTATTCAGATGAAATCACCTTTTAGAGTGCAAGTGGTTCAATTAATTGATTGGGTGGTCAACAGATGACAGGCTTTTTTTTTTAAACATACTTTTAATACAATCTTGTATTGAAGGAAATTACACTGGACATTTTTCACTGTTTCCAATTTACTGATAAAAAGGTCAGTGCAGGATGAAAATTGTTTTACAAAACTCTGGCTCTTTCTATTGAATGTTTTTGTCTTGAAATGTCTCTTGAGATATTTTAGGTTTACTTACTGTTTTACATGTAAAAGTTTTATTTTATTTCTGTCTGCTTAAAACACAACTCCTTTGTTTACTTATGGATCTACTATGACTGTTTGTCATTTTAAAATTCGAAATTTAGTTAAAGGGCTTGTAATACACTGCAAGAATTTTCTTTTTCAAACTGCATACGATTGCAGTGTTTGATTTTTATTGCTTTGTATTATCCTTGTGTTGTTTAAACTGAGTGTTACTACCAAATTAACCTAATAACCTTTGAGGACTGTACTGCAATTGAGAGCTTGAGGTTTAGAGCTATCTATATCTACCCTATGGATTTAATAGAGGGGCAGCACGGTGGTTAGCACTGTTGCTTCACAGCAAGAAGGTCCACTGTCAGGTCGGGGTCCTTCTGTGTGGAGTTTGCATGTTCTCCTCGTGTTTGTGGGGGTTCTCTCCAGGTACTCCAGCTTCCTCCCACAGTTCAAAGACATGCAGTTAGTGGGGATAGGTTAATTGGTAACTCCAAATTGCCCATAGGCGTACCCTGCCTCTCGCCCTAGACAGCTGGGATGGGTTCCAGCCCCCCTGTGACCCTGACAAGGATAAGCGGCAGAGAATGGATGGATGGATTTAATAGAGTACCATCAGTCAACTAAAACAGTGAGTGCTAAACACCTGCAGCTACAAGGAATTTAAACCATCCAATTAGCAGTTTCTTTCCATGCAAAATCTTTAGCTGGTCTAATTGAGAAATGAATGGGCACAATGAGAAAAAACAAGGCACTTATGTATTAGAAGTTAGCAGTGAATCTATATATTTCAGGTTTACTGTGCACAGGTGTACACCTGCAGGTGGACCAGGGGGTGAAAAAATATCAGACTGTTGGTTTGTGTGTAGCTTGTGTCTTCTGAGGCTGAGGCAGATTTGTTTACTGGTTTGGTTCCAGGAGCGTTGGACCGCTGTGTGATGGGAATAACTGCAGTAGAGATCCTGAATGCCTGTGATGAGCTGGCTCCAGCTACTGTGGATGCTCTGAGCCACTCGGCGGTGAACCTGAAACAGGCGATGACCCGCCGCAGCCTGGCCGCACTGAAGAACATGGCTCAACACAAACTGCAGACGCTTGCCACCAACCTGCTGGCTGCAGACAACGCTGACAAGGTGAGGACGACCACTAAAAGTCACAAACACACTGGAAGAAATAAGTTAAACAGAAAAAGGCACAAAACAAAGAAATGTGCATATAACGGTTGACCTGTAGCGTGTATACAGGAATATTTGTTTACCATCAGATCCTGAGCAATCCAAATGCAGGCAACGCTTGTTTTTTCTGCACACTGTGAGGCTGTTGGTATTTATTAAATTCAAAGGAAAGACCCTGACTCTCAGCCACCTGTGGGGAATAATGGTCTAGATTGTATTTGTTAGCTGAATTAACATGCTAGACATTTCAATATGTTAGATCAGTAAAGGGGTAAGCAAGCAAAATTGTATTTTGACAATACAGCAAAAATGTCAAAACAAATATTGTTAAAATGACAAGTTTTAAGCTGCTTTTTAAGACGGATCACTGAGCAACAGATCACACGTTTGCAGGTACACGTCTTTGGTCCTCATTATAGTTTTCGTTATACATTTATTGTTAAATCTGTTTACTTTAAGTCATTGAGATTAGCATCTCTTTTTAAAGAGAGTCCTCAAAAACCCATATACAACAGTATAAAGAGTAGTGAGTATATTTTGAAAGCACCTGCAAGTACAACTGCAGATATAAATATAAACTGTTGCAGCGCCTTAGAAACAGGGGACAGCAGACAAGCCTGATATCCACCAAAATGACTTGATGTTCTGTTTATGACCTGAAACTACTGACTGAGCCCATTAAGTTCATAGAGGTCACAGAAGACCATAGAAGTCGAAGGAGTCGACCCCCTGGTGGTCATTAAAATAATAGAGGTTCCGCATTGACATCACTTTCAGCAATCTGATTCAGATTGGGAATCTTTTCAACACTTTGTGGTAAATCCTGATTCTACTTTTATTTATTTATTTAGTTTTTGCTCAAAACAAAGATTTGTTTTCTAAACCTTCTTAGACTGAAGCTGAGGTTTGTCAAATGTTAATTTTTTCATTTCTACGAAGTTCAGATGTCTCTTTATGTTCCTCATATAATGATTTTCTCTTTGCATCATTCACCACACACACACACACACACACACACACACACACACACACACACACACACACACACGTCATCTCAGTCACAAAGCTGCTGGCTCAAGTCAGACCAATTAAAACTCTGCTGGAGACGACCCACAGGTCAACCGTACAGTGACTTCTCCAGGGAACGATGGCATTAAATGTCATAATGGTGAAAAAGAGTGAGTCCAGCGTTTCTTTTGAGACTTTCTGGAGACTAGCTTTTCAATATTTAAACCTGTACCAGCACAAGTCAAACTACTTGAGTAGCCCTTTTTTTTGTTTTTCTCTCTCAAGTCTTAAACTGGGTCCTAATTATTTTTTTTTCTACTTTAAAATTACCTTCCAGAGCTTGTTTTTACATTTTTACCTCCTGTAGTGCCTTTGTGCTTTTTTCCCAACTTCCTGTGCATCAATACATCCTTTATATCCCCAGTTTTGAAAATGCGTGTGTAGTAAGTTTATAGTAACTAAATAAAAACATAAAAAAATGCAATAAACTACCCAGAACATAGATACAAAAATTATAAAAGGAAAAAAGTTGCATAAAATCCTTTCAAATCACAAAACATTATTTTGAGTGTGCACATAACTTTGTTTTTGAGATACACCCATTTTTATAAATTATAATAAAAATGAAAATAAAATGCACACTGTGCACAATTTGCAAAAAGACAGTATGTACATCAAAATTCCATTTCCAAAAGTGCATAGTTCTCAGTGTCTGAGGAATTGAATTGAAATGAATATCTTTATTGTCACTGGTGCTTGAACAACAAAATTAGTTGTCTTTGATCAGTGCTAAAAACCTTAAAATACCAATAAAACGACAGAACTTTACATTCATGACGTAGAAATGACGTATAGAAAGTCACAAATTCCTGCCTTTCCTGGGAAAACCAGTTTTTGGTGCTGTGCATGAAACCATGTAATGGCTCATGCTGATTACATGATGATGTATGGGAGCAGAGGCGTGCTTGTTGGCTCAAGTACCAAAAACCGTAGTTTCTCTAATATCCACTAGAGGCTCACTCCAAAAGTGAGTCAGTCCCACAGTCAGGACTAAAGGAGAACCTGGGACTGTTGTGGAGATGAAACTAACATAGAGGAAAACTGAGTTAAATGTTTTATTGTGTCACTCTACCATAAAATGTCTTAAATTTTGTGTTTAAGGTATTTTAATTATGAATATCTACCTTTTCAATATGACTGGAAATAATGAAACGAAGCTTTAAACACCGATCATACGTAATGAAGAATTATATTTTAGCTCACGGCACACCTGAGTTACCCTTTCTCTGCTGTATTCGGTAGCTTTCAGCTTCTTTGAGCTTCACCTGTGAGGGGACCACTTGTCAGACGTGATGATCTGATCTGTCCCGACAGCGGTAACCCCTCCCAAATGTGCAGCCCGGCACCGAAAACAAGCGCTGTGAATTATTTAGTGCTTGAACAGCGTTTAGTTTAGTTGCCGGTGCAGTTTGACTTCTGCAGGTTCACCTGGAACTCATTTACCTCAGGTCTCCTCTGCTCTAAGGGGTCGTTCTTTCTTTCTAATTTTCCTCCCTCCCTCCTGTTTCCTTCCACATGATAACCTTTGTGTTGTTTTCTCTCTCCTCTGGGTCGTCTGTGGAGAAACCCCCCCTCCCCTCCGGTCATAACTGCCCATAATCACAGCTCTTCTGTGAAAAGGCCAACAAACAACAGCTGTAATCTTTCTTCTCCTTTTATGTTAGAAATGCATCACTGTGCTTCACTTTCCTGCCTCCCACCCCCGCCGTCATTTCCCCCTCATGCCTGCTGAAATTATGGCTCAACACCACCAACTCCCCCCACCGTGTGTGTGTCCTCCCCTGCTGGGTGTAATGGTGGATAATGACCATGAAATGTCAGACTATCAACCCAAACATTTCACCCAGCTGACGTGTGTGTGTGTGTGTGTGTGTGTGTGTGTGTGTGTGTGTGTGTGTGTGTGTGTGTGTGTGTGTGTGTGTGCACAGTTGATGTTGGTTTGTTCAGAAGCTATTCTGCTGAATGTGCTGATCTGTGAATGTTTGTGTTCATGAGGAAAAACGACTGTATCCAGACTTTGGAGCTTGCAAGAATGATGTTTTAGGTCTTCAAACCTGAGGCTGAAGCTTTGCCAGGATCCAGGAAGTCAGTTTACTGGAACTCTGAGTTTGTTAATCCTGAGCTCAGGGAAACCGGAACTCTGAGTCAGGTGCCTCAGATCCTCTGTGACTCCTCCCCCTCCTGCTGCACCTGAATTTAATGACAGCGTTGATCTGCTCCTCTTCTCCCCCATCTAATCTTCTTCTTCTTCTTCTCTCCCACCTTTTTCTGCACCTCATTCATTGCCTCGTCTTCCTCCTTCCTCTTCTTTTCCTTCTCAACTTTCTTCCCTCTGCGTGTCTCCCTTGACCACCCTCTTCTTATTCACGTCCTCCGCCTTTTTCCTTCCTCTCCTCTGCTGCCTTCATATCCTCCTCCTTCCATTTTCTTCCACTTTCTACTTCTCTGCCTCTGCCCTCTACTGTCCTGTTCTCCTTTTCCTCCTCAACTTCTTGTCCTTTTCCACCTGATTCTCTGCCACCTTCCCCTCCTCTACCAACTTCTTCTCCACCTTATTCTTCACCTCCTCTTCATCCTCGTTTTCTTCTCTGTCCTTGTGCTTCCCACGCATTATCCTCCTGCCCATTCTTCTGTCTCCTCTTTTAGTTTTCTGCACAAATTCAAGCTAACTGTATCTCTCCTCATTTACTTAAATGATCTCATGCCTGATTTGCCTTTCTCTCTCGCTCCTGTCACTGTGTTTTTAACTCCATGTCCTCCTGCTGGATCTGTTTTGTAGTCGAGTCGTGTTTGACTCTAAGAAAGCTGCTCTTTGATCAGGAGAACAATTTCAATTCTGACTCTCTCACCTAGTTCTGAAGCCATGTTTCCTCACATCACACCGGGCTGCTTCATGTCTGAATTTTTATGTGTTCATAAATGTTTCTTCATTCTCAAACTTAAATATTACAGACCGCACTCCACTGTAGAGATAAATAGTGCTGCAGACTGCCTTTAGATGGCAGTGTTACTCCACCAAAATGGAGCCTCCCTCACACAGACGCAGGGATGAGGCTCCAGTATCAGGAAAAATCAAAGGCATCTATGAAAATAAGAACTAACTTCTTAGTCTGAAGCCAGAAACCAGAATTAAAATGATCCGAGCAGGAGTCTAGCCATTCTTTGAATAAAATACTTCATAAACATCCTCAAATGTATGTTTTTCTGTGCATGCACCAGCGTACCAGGAAACTGTCTAATAGACCGATAATAGTGCTGAGATTTATCTACTTCACATCTTTTTTTTCTCTTTTTTTTTCTTTCATGTAAATGTAAATGATAAGAAAAAAAATAAACGGACAAGTAAAAAGATCAAAATGAGCCCAGATTTGATCAGTTATACATGTTTGAAGAATACACTGAATTTATGAGCACATCACTGTTGTCAGCACCACTTTTCAAACGCACACAAAGACATACAACACGTCAGCCCTCAGGGAGGACCAGCCTGTCAAAGCTGTGATGTGTGTGTGTGTGTGTGTGTGTGTGTCCCAGCTGCAGGTGTATTGTGTCTCTCGGTCAGTCAGGACGTGTCTTTACCGCTAATTATTGTTCTCGCCCACACAGTCACATCCAGCTCGATACAAAGAGCTTCAGGCAAAAGAAGAAAAAAAAAAGTGCAACAAAATGACCAGTGATCAGTGAAGGTACAAATATGAAAATAATACCAGAATTTCACGCAAAGTCAATCAGTATTCAGTGATCCAGATACAAAACAAGTTATCACATAAAAGAATCATTTCATCGTCACTTCTGTGCGCTGATTCATAGCTTGTGCTACGAAATGTTAAACTTGGTAAGCTCACAGAGATTTAACTGTTTAGAAGAAATGAGTCTGTAAATATGTTTATATTGAAGATTTTTAACATAATTTTAAAAATATTGGCCCCTGCAGCACCAAATGCTTAACTTCATGCTCAACTTCAATGTATTTAAATTTCACATTTTTAAGTAAAAACTCATAATTTTCAATAGTTAAGTTTTAAATTCACAAAGGAAAAAAACGACAACTGATAAGTTTTTACGGAAAAAGAAGGCAAAGAATATCAGACCCCTTGGGGAACAAATGTCAAATTGACAAAACCAAGGCAAATTTTTGTAAAACACATGAGCAAATTTACACGATAGTGGTACATTGTCGAGGGGAAAGGGAAAACGGAGACAAAATTGGCAAATTATGAAAGAAATAAGTGCCATACTTACGAAAGTGACACTGCCAAATTTCTATGGAAAAATTTCATATTCACAAGAAAAATGGCAAATCTCGAAAGAAAAACGAGGCTTTTTGCCGAGAGGAAAAAGCAAAGTTTGAAGTCTGTGTCTGTTTAAAGTCACTTTCCTGTAGTTTATTTTAAAATGTGGAGAGAAAATTAAACACAACATGATTATAACAGTGTGTTAACTCTAAATGCAAGTAAACAGGAGGAAGATTCGGTGAGGAATCAGATGTTTTCTCTTTCTTTATGTATCTTTAAAGAAAGATTTGATGCAATGCTATGGTTACAAAGGTAAATGATAGACATGATGTGACGTGAGCTTAGACGTGAAAAGAAATGGGCTTAACTCTGGGTCTGAAAAGTGAAGTCGGTGCTTTCGTCCCTGAAACCTGCAGCCTGGGGAATGAGAACCGGGTTGCTTCACTTGATCTATGGGAAAATGAGCCTTCTGTGAGTTTCCTGAGAAGTTTATGGAGTCTATTGTTTGTCTTATTTAATGAAAAATCTTTGTTTTTGTAGATTTTGGCCCCTTTAGAGTCAAACAGAATGATAGGGCAGGATGTGATGACCTGTCATGTTTCTTTTTCAAACACCATTGTGGTGATGGCGAAAAAGCTCTGTGATCTTAAGGCAAAAGGTTAAAAAAAACCCCCCAAAAACATGCAGATAAAAATCCAGCTTTGGCCTTTTCTTTCCTCTTTATTTCCTCTCTTCATTCCTGTCTTAATCACCACCTCCTCCCTCACTTTCTCCTCCTCCTGTCTCCTCCCTTGGAATCGAAGTCTAACAGGATCAGTTTAATTGCAGTCATCAGCTCATTAACATGGAAACGAGAAGCAAACAGCTCCATGCACATGCTGTCTCTTCTAATACAATTAAAATTGAGCCGAGTGTTAATATTAGTGGCAATTACAGGTGTGTGTGTGTGTGTGTGTGTGTGTGTGTGTGTGTGTGTGATTTAAATAATGAGCTTTTGATGAGGAGCTCTTGAACTTCTTAATTAAATTTATATCGACAATGGATCATTTAAATATATTTATATATTTAATGTGAAAAGTGTCACACTGTGATTGATTTTGTTCTTGAAACTGAACTCTGTCTTTCCACCAGGGCAACTTACCAAAATATTCCCACAATGCCTTGGTGGTCCAGGCGATGAAGACCAACCTGACAGACCCTGACATGCATGTGCTGTTCTTCGACGTGGAGGCGGTGATCATCCAGCTGCTGACGGAGGAAGCTCAGAGACCAAACCCCATGCTGGTGTCCCCGGAGACGCTACAGAAGAGCCAAGCTGGGGCTGATAAGGGCGGGTCCTTGTTGGCTCATAAAATCTTCAAACAGGTCCATAAACACCAAAAAAAAAAATTCCACTAATGAAGGTCTTTTATTATTGTATTATTTTTGTTTTTCATGTAAATAATTTCTCCTAAAACCAGGTGAAGGAGACCATGAAAGAGACCATTAAGGAGCACCTATTAGATGAAGATGAGGATGAAGAGGAGGAGATGAGGAGGCGCGAGGAGAAGTCCAAGTCTCTGAGTCTGCTGGAGTATAACCTGACGATGGACACAGCCAAGCTCTTCATGTCCTGCCTGCACGCCTGGGGTCTCAACGAACAGCTGGACACCATCTGTCTGGAGCGACTGGGCATGCTCAGACCACACTGCCCCATCTCCTTCGGCTTGATCTCCAGAGGAGGCCACATGTCTCTTATGTTGCCCACCTTCAAGGTAACTGTCTGTTATCACCTGGGTTCCAGGTGTCTTTCCATGAAAGACATATCGTTGAGCATGGAGCATTTAAAAAGCTAAATCAATAGTTTGATAACAGGGCACCTGAAAATAAGAACCTCTTCTCTTTGTATAACTCCATTTTCCAGGAATCTTTGCTTCGTCAGCTTTCCCTGGCGACAGGTCGGAAGCTATCTCTGTCAGACATAGTCGGGAAGGGGACATATGGTGTGTCGAGGGCTGTCACCACACATCACCTCCTCTCCGTCATCTCACTGGCCAACACTCTGATGGGCATGACCAACGCCACCTTTGTTGGAGAGCACATGAAGAAAGCACCGGCCAGGTAACAAACACACATGGACTAACTCTTAAAAGTGATTTATTTTTATATTTGTTCTTTAAGAACTCTTATATTCAGAAGAGTTGGTTGAGCCCAAACTAAAGTTAAAAAAGTAAGAATGTTGGATGTATGATCTTGCAGTGCTGTGATTGCAGCCATTCCCCAACTCTCTGTGAATGGTACTCATGGTCTTTGATCAGTGGGTTTTGGTCAGTGGTTGTTGATCAATGGTCATGAGAATTTTCTTAATTAAGATTAAGGAACTCTCCTCCCAGCCCATTGTTCCTTCAGTGGGCTGGTTTCAGTCATTATGCAAATGTACTGTTTATAAGATTGGGGAAACCTGCAGTCAGCTGAGACTGAAGAAGTCACTTGGATGAGTGACGAAACGTTTCTTCTACAAAATGCTACGTCCAGATGAACATAATCAACTTTTGGAGATTTACTTACCTGGACGATTGAGCATATGAATCAAGACGAAATGTTGGATGTAGATTTACCTGGTCAGTACAAACTAATCTACAATGGCAGGATTTACTTCCTGTGGCTTTGCAACTTATGTTTTCATGTTAGCCATTTCTTGATACATGAATTGATAAAAGGTTTGAAATATTGATGTTCAATGATTGGATGAATGATAAATGGTTAAATGCACAGATGCATGGATAGAAAGTTAAAGGGCTAATTATATAGTTGGATGACTAAATGGTTGGATAAAAGATGTTTTGGGCATGGATGGATGGGAAGATTCGATGTCTATTAGATGGATAATGACATGGATATATGTTGGATGGATAAAGAAATGTTGGATGTGTGCATGAACGGATAGATGGTTTAGTCTGTGGATGGTATAATTGATAGCTAAATACCTGAATAAATTATGCATGGATGGTTTGGTGGATAAATGTTGGATGAGTGGATAGATGGCTAAATGGTTTGTTGGACTAACAGCTGGATGGAGGCAAAGTGGTTGGATGAATAGACGGTTGGATAGGTGGCATGTTGGTAGTTAATTACATAACTTTAAAAAAAAAAATATATAATGTGCCATTAAATGAACCAAAAACAATATTAAAACTAAATGGAATGTGATTAATTCATATATTTATATTGTTAAGCTATCTTAACAATATAACAAAATATTACAATACATATGTAACAATACAAAAACCTATGTAATGTTTTTGTTTTTACTCCCTTCGAACTTTCGCATTTTATACATTACTGTCTACTTCTATATTTACTTTTGATCTTTGTTCTTCTGTAGCTGCTCTGGCCCACGCTGAGTAAACAAAGCTGCAGCAAACTTGTTTCGTCTTCATGTGGCTTTTATAGGATTTAAATTTCAAACTTTGTTCATCAGCTAAAAACAAACAGCAATTTGTGGAAATCAGTCTGTTTCAACACCCTGAATTGTGCACAAAAATGTATCCACATTTGTTTTAAATTGATATCAGTTTATGAACCCAAGTTCATTTTATCTAGAATTATCAGGCTGATAACATACAATTCTGATTCCAGCTTAAAAAACGATAGAACAACTGAAACTGCAGCAGAAACTGAACTCAAAGTGCAGGACATATACTATCCTACCACCAGCGGCTGAGCTCTGGCTGTGTGTGTGTGTGTGTGTGTGTGTGTGTGTGTGTGTGTGTGTGTGTGTGTGGCTGATTGTTTAGTCTGTCTGAGCTCTCATTGTGCTGTGAAAGATTTAACACAGAGGTCGAGGTCCTGCTGCTGTAATACCAACACAACATTTCATCGTCCCGTCAACCCTGCTTCAAGGATAACTCTGCAGGGAGGGCGAGCAGCGAAGAGTCAGAGATGATAAAAACACAGGTCGAGGGGTAGTGAGGTGTTTGATCAGCCTTCATAAGTTTTCAGTCTATAATTGACTTATTTTTGTGGTTAAAATATATTTTTCCTGCCATATGTCCAGCTTTACAATGATAAATATTCAAATTAAACAAGGACAAAGTTCTTTTTTTCTTTTAAACTGTGAATTCAGAAATGAGCTGTCATGAGCTGGGATACATAACTGGAAATAAATACAAAAATACCAAAACAAGACAAAAGAAGAACCAGGCTGTTGTAATGGAATAAACACAAGTGATGCTGGGTTTGGGTGGGTGTGGTGGTAGTGATTCAAGAGTTGCAAGAGCTGTAAGTATTGTCAGAACACAGGGAAAAAAATACAAATCATAGATTTGGTTCACAACACAAACATTGCCTAAAGTAAAGTTTGCGTAAAGGTATGGGCAGTAAAACAAGTCATTTCAGGCAAAATATTAGCTGACGGGCCCAATATAAGATAAATAAGGATATTTTTTTTTTATTTTTATTTTTTTATAACTGTGGATCAGGCAAACCTCTATTAGAACCCAAAACCAAAAATTACAGAGCTTTACTTTAGTACTTTAGTCCCTGTAAAGTTTCGTCCTCTCAGTACTTTCGATGTCATTTTTGAACTCTTTCCCCCATAAAGACGACATTCGAGGACATCCGCTGTTCCCATAATGACATGTTTTGACACCTCAGGATCTGTCAATAAAAACGTGGTTTGATGAAAAAATTTTTCCAAGGGTAATTGCCACCCTGATGCAAACTTAGTCATTTTGTTCAGTGAGCATACCTGTAATATGACAGAAACCAGTTCAGAAAAGAGCTTTAATGGTTACTCCTAAATAGGTTTTCAAGGGCTAAAGGGTTAAACCCCCTTATGTCTCCTAGGTTAGGGTGGAAAGTACAGCTTGGATTCTCATCATCATTAGTCTTATCTAATATAAGTGACATAAAAGTCAGCTGTAAGGTGTCCTCAGTGTCAGTCCTGGGTCAGTTCTGAAATCCTTGAAATAGAGTAAACTCAACAATACTGTAAAGTCATGATGACTTTTTCCCTCACAATCAAATCTGAAGTCCTTACAGCCAGAGCTAAAGCCCCATCAACTTATACAATGATAAGTTTGAATCTCCTTAACATTCAAAGGAGCAGGTCAAATCATCTAATTTTGCCTCCTGGGTGCATCCGTCTCGAGGTTTAAAAGAACATGCTAGATATTCTATATCTCATCTGGGCTGGAAACACGTAGGGATCACAAAGAAGGGACTGGGGAATGTTACTGGGGTGAAGGACGTCTTGAATTAGCCTGCTGCCAAATTCCAGAAAGCAGAAGAAAACTGGTGGCTGGATGTCAAAGTTAAAATCAAATCAAGTGTTTTTCTATTTGACTCCTTCTACCATTGCATCCTGTCATTGGTGGCATTGCTGATGTCACGCTATTATCAGATTACCTTTCTGAGTAAGAAATTAAAGGAAGTCAAACTTTGTGGAGTAGATACAGTCACAGCATGAAAAGTAAAAAGCAGAAGAACAAAAGACGTCACTCATAGGCTGACTTTCCAGAGAAGTTTATTACTTTCACATAAACCCGTAACTGTGTTTCTGTGGAGTGTCCAGATCAGAGGAGGTGATTGTGCAGCTACAAACAGAAGCTGAAGACTTCTTTATGAAGCTCAAACAAGGATCTTCTCTCTGGCCGTCTTCGCCTCGAAACTGCAGAACAGCAGTTGTGAATATTTGAAGTTGTTTTGGTTTTTGGCTTTTTCATGTTCCTCATCTTACATTTATGATAGTGGAAAAGCTTCCTCTCTGTGTGCTGGAGTTTGAAAAGAAGTATTCCTGAACTCTTTAAGAGTTTCAACAGCAGTTCCTTCACCTGCCTTTGCTTAGGCCTTCAGCTTGGCTGCCTGAGACGGGACTGAATTAGCCTCAACCACACCTCATTTAAGTGATTTTTCTAAGTCAACGTCTATGATCATATTGCCTTTTTGTAGGAGTCTTTAGCTCTTTCTTCCTCAAAACTATTTCTCTTGTCCAAACCTTTCATGTCTTTGTCTTCACTTTGGGTGGATTCTGACAAGCTCCTTTTGGAAAACATGAGCTTTACCTTTTGGACATAAACTGTATAAAAGGTGGATCCTAGCCATGGTGCCATTTTGAAGCATCAGCATTGTGAATTCAGAATTAATGACCTCTATAGTTTCACACTTTGCAGAGTGATCCAGTGGACCTGAATGGACCCTTTGGATTTTGTTTGTCAACTGCACAGGGATGAATTGGTACATTTGGACGTTTTACAGATATGGTTGTAGGAAGCTGGCAGGTTAAAGACTTTGTACATTTCTCACTTCAGAATTATTGTACATAGTTTGTTTTGTAACCAGCTGTAAAAGACCAATAGGGTATTGTCATCATCCTCCTGTGTGGACGGGCGATGTGGACATCCAAGTTTGTGAATAGGTGTATCTACTAAAAATCTTGGACAAGTTTGAATCTCATTGGCCTCGACCTCAAGGAAAGAGTTCAGAGGTCAAGTTTTCTTAAAATCTTGTGAATGCAATAACTTGAGAACAAGGCGATGTGGGATTTTGAAACTGATACCATAGGTGTATCTAGTAGGAGGCTGATGGGTACCACTGACCGCTGCCAGTATTGTTTTTATTTGGTTTTGTTTCAGTTTTAGATTATTCTCATATGTATCATGTCTAGTTTTTAATTTTTCTTTTCTGTTTACTAAAATATTGTGGTCCTGCTGCAATTTTAAATAACCAAGAGTTGGGGATGGCCACATTTTTACTAGGTGTGACCAGAATGGGCAAAGTTAGAAAGGAGTATGTTAGAGGGACAGCTCAGGTTGAACGGTCGGGAGAAAGAGAGGCAAGGCTGAGATTATTTGGACATGTGCACAGGAGTGGATATTTTGGGCAAACAATGATGAAGATGAAGAACCAGGCAGGAGGAAAACAGGAAGACGTATGTATGTAGTGAAAGAAGACATGCAGAGGGTTTGTGTGACAGAGTAGGACACTGGGAAGGCTAAGATGTAGGCAGATGAGCCACTGTGGCGACCTCCAAAGGCCGAAAAAAGGGGCTGTTTGGCATTTCTATCAGTCATTTTCCCAGGTAAAGCAACTTGGTTGAAGTTAAAACACCAGTAAACCACCTGTTTGGATCAGTTTAATGTGCAGAAAAGCAATCTTTTTAGCTGCTTCTGGTGACATTACGGTAAATTGTTCTTTTATATTGTTCATTTAATTATGAATTTTATTTAAAAATAGATTTTATATGGATTTCTATTTTTGTGGATAAAGGTAACTTTTCTGTATGCCAGTGGGGGAAAATGCTACGTTAATCACTGATTTTGTTTTAGTCTTCTATAATATTTTGTCACAAGCACATCTGGCTTTAGTGCATGTGTGAAGAGCTTTCTAACATAGGAACTCTGAGTGCAGTCCAGGATATTTGCAGAAGGACAAAAAGTAATTATTTGATCTCGTCTTTATGAGCTGTGACCACTGTCCTGCCTCTTTAAAGAATTTTGTCTTTTTTGTCGTTTTTTTTTCTTTCTTTTTTAAAATGGAGCTTTCTGGATGTGTTTTTGTTCCCCGACAACTGCAATTGATCGCCCAGTGGATTGTTGTATTGGAAGTGTTTGTGTGCCTCTGAAAGTTAGACGCCTCCAGTCTGTTCACAGAGGACTGTGTCCTCCAACCAAAATTCAATAGGCTGGAGCCTGAAAAACACACACACACACACACACACACACACACACACACACACACACACACACACTCTCAGCTGGTTTCAGGAAAAAGAAATAAGAATCTTGCGTATGTGAACTCCTGGTTTTTATGAATGCATGTGTTTCTGTGTGTTTCTTTGAATTTTAGTGGTGTGTGTGTGAGTGTGTCTCTGTGTGTCTCTCTGTCTGTGCATTGGCCCATCTCTCTGCTCCCTGCTGCTTTAATATTTCATGCCCTCTCTTTGTGATCCTCCTCCAGGCCTCCCAGACCAGGAGGAACCCCGGAGACTCCTCGCCGGACGCCTGCCGCCCCCCCTCAGCCCTCCAACCCGGCGCTACAGGCCCAGATCAAACAAGGTAACTACAAAAGGAGGTGGCGCTCGCTTCGAACACCCCTGGGGCCCTGTGGGGAGGGAAGGAGGGAGGTGGGGTTTGATAATGCAGCCCACTGGCAATAAAACCCACCGAGGGTTGAAGAAAAGAAACAAAAATATCACAGGAGGAAGCTGCTGTTGTTTCCAAAGTCAGCAGGTCTTTAAAGGGCTCTGTTGCAGTTGTTGAACTTCAAAGTACAAACATATGACTGCAGCTTTGCATCTGGGTTCTCTGGACTGTGCTCTGATAAGGGTAGCATGGGTGGCAGTGCTCTGCTTTAATGGCTTGGAAGGGTTTTTCTTTGACTCAGTTGTCATCACAAGTTCAGAGATTCACTGTGAACACAAAACAGATTAGCGCAAAAACCTAAAATGACCGGTGTTTGTTCATAGTTGTGTGAATTGACTTTACTTTGGTCCGAATAAGTCTGAGTTTGTGCACTACAAACCCTGTGAGAAGAGTGAAGAAACAAAACTAAATACAGGACGAATTACGCTGGGCTATGGGCAGCATTTGTTGTTTGTCTTAGTGAGTGTTCTGTTACAGTTTGTGTGCTGTGATGCATCCCAGCATGCAAAGCGTACAAAGCATTCCTGTTTACAGGAAGAAGTTTATATGAAACTGGGTCAGATTGAGGTCGGAAACCCAGGGGGTTTCTTCTGAATTAGGTTAAAAGCAAATGAAGTCATGTTCAAAATCAGTGTTAAAAAACAAAACAAAACCCCACAGGCACCTTTTCGGAATAATGCTTGCACCTCAGTGTTGGGTTTTTTTCTTTTTTCTTTGCCTTAATGATTTTGTGAATAAAATGTACTTTGTTTATCCCAAATTTGGGGAAATGGCTGTTTTTTTGGGTTTTTTTTATCGGCATGAAAAAATACAAAAAAAAAAAAGAAATAACCCTCCAAAAACAGTAACAAAGAACAAACACAAAAAAGCAGCTCATAAAAAAACAATATTTTGTATCTGTGTTTGATGTTAGAAGCACAGCTGTTAGAAAAAGTATTGAGTAAGTGGTGCAGAGGTAGGTGTCCATTAATTATCCATAGTCCTTCACCACAGCCGGAGTCATTTGGATGACCTCTACGTTAGTTAGTGGTGAAATCCAAACAAACTTTTACTCTCTTTGAGTTGATCTAGTCTCCTTCAGGAGGGTTGGAAAAATGGCAGCACAAGAAGTAAAGTGGTAAATGGACTGTGCTTAGGAAGTGCTTTTCTACTCACACTGAGCTTTCTTACTACAAGACTCATTCACCCAGTCACACACACATTCTAGCAAGCGCGTTTGTTTCTTTGCCTAACATTGAGTCACACACACACTTCAGTGGATGCAGCTCATGGTTCAGTGTCTTGCCCAACAATACTTTGACATACAGACTAAAGGAGCCAGGGATAGAACTACTGTCGTTCCAGTTAGTAGATGAGAGGGATGTCGCCAGAACCAATACTTACGGTACGGTTTGATACCAAAATTCTGTGAATGCAATGTTACTTGTTTTTCTTTGGTACCACCAAGGCTGTATATCCAGAACTGACGGGGGCACCATACAACCCCAAGTGTTCTAGACTGTCTGTAGATGCTGAAAATGAAAACGGCCCAAAAGCAAAAGATTTGCTCAGTTTCCATGATAGCTCTGCTCTAACTCAGTGATAGGAAAGGCAGTGTTCGAGGGGTGGTTACCAAGGGATGATAATGGATTCACAAGAAGTGAAGAGAAAATTATGTTATTGTCTTTTTCAGACCAAGGGAGGAAATACTTCCAGTTCAGAGAAGCACTTAAAAAAAAATCCAGACATGTTCAAAGAATTCAAGCTGAGTAAGCTTCAGGTCATAGTAACAACATCCAAAATATTGTCCTCCTTACGTTATCCTGAAATGCAGTTCATCATTTTGTCCAAAACAGCTGGCACTGAAATGAAGTCAGCTTCTTTTCATAGGCTAAAATATTTGCAATGGCTCACATTAAATGCTGAAGCTAACATAATGTAGCTGTGATATTCGTAGGCTACTCTGCAAACATCCTACCACATCACACATTACTGTGTGTAATCAACAAATTAAAATGTTACCATTTTAAATAAATGATCTGCCACCATGTTAGCATTTTACAACCAGTTGGCATTTCTTTTCCACCACACAAACTAGTTCAAGTTTAATAACGTGGAATAATTATTTTGTTTTGGTGTTGAATTGTATAAGTCTGCTGTTATTGGACCCGACTGCTAGTAGATGACCCACTCTACCACCTGACCCCACAGCCTCTGAGTAAGTGGAAATCAGCCTCTATCTTAAGCAAAGGTTAATCACGTCTGTGGCAGATCAGTAAACAGTCGAATGAACAACTTCTGTGATTGGAAATGCTTATATTTGAAGTCAGTGAATGATTCCTCTGTGCATCCCAGAAAAACTTTACTAAAATATATTCTGTTGCTTCCCCATGTGGTATCTCTGTAACTTTGTGGGCTGTTTTCTTGACCATAACTGTAAGAGCTGGATGATCAAACGCCTAAACAAGGCAAAAAGAGGGAGAGATTTACAGGTTTGCACAGAGAAACCTGCTCTGCTTCACTGTAGGGGATGTTTTAACCAGCTGTCACCATCTGCCTGCTCCCCACCCACACACACATCTGCCTACCACACAGCAACAGCCTCAATACCTACAAATACACACCGCTAAAAATCAGGTCCACATGCATACACACACAAGCGTGTGCTATAAGTGGCACCCTCGGGTGTTGGGTGGAGGCAGGGTTTCTGTGCCATTGTCACGGCTTAATGGAGGCCAAGCGTGACAAGCGCGTGGACTTATTCACGCCACACGCCTATTCACCGCCATTCAGAGGGAACGCTCGGCCGTGACCTCTGCTTAGCCAGCTACTCCTGCGTGGTGTGTGTGTGTGGCTTTGTGAAGAAGAGCAGTGCTGTTAACCCTGCTCACCGTCTCTTTTCACATGGAAATAAATGAGGAGGCCCCTCTAATATACTCCGGTTAAGCAGAGAGATGAACAAAGAGAGCAGGGAGTCCACGCATGATTTTTTTTTAAGGACCCCCCCCCACCAAAAAAAAATGTCACACACTTAGTATTTTATTATCATGTTCACGACAAGGTGCAAAAGAGCTTTCAAATTCTGTCTCTATATTAAATTTTTTCTCTCTTTGTCAAAAGTTTCCATATTTAACACTCTAATAGTGAATGTTTGCCTTCAAGGGTCAATCTGTGAAAATCCAATCAGTGTCTCCCACCTGACCCCCTCAGAATCGTCTGATTTATTAATTTACTTTCCCAAAAAGGTAAAGTAAACTTCATTTAATAAAGTCATGAAGAATATTACCTTCATATTATGCTGAACTTGTCACACAAGTTCAGACTGGAAATAACAGAATGGAAATGCTGGTTGCTTTTCTTAAAAGAACTTTATAGCAATCATCTTCTTTCTTCTGGTTCCTCTTTTCTTCTACTTATTGAATTTTCCTTCCTCTCTTCTCCTCTTCCTCCTCCTCCTCTCCTGTGCTCTTTTCCACCTTCTTCTCATTCTCTTTTCTTCTTTTCCTTTGGGGAGGAGGTGAAGGAGAAGACATTCTTCTCCTTTGGGTTCTCCTCCTTGTTTTTATCCCCATCCTTCTTGTTTTTCTTCTTTCTCTGCTTCTTCTACTAGTTCATTATCATCTTTTCCTATTCCTCCCTTTTCCCTTTTTGTTGTTCACTTCTTCCCCTTGCCATCTCTTCTTTTTTCCCTTCCTCTTGTTGCTTTTTACTGTCTTTTCTTTCACCTTCTCATCTTCCTTCTCCTCCACCTTACTCTTCATCGTATGCTCTCCTTCTTCTTTCTTCTTCTCGTAAAGTAAATCATTTCAATATATGCTTTAGAAATATTCAGCTTAGACATAAATAGCTCTATATCATCTATATAAGTATTAGTATTTTATTAAACCAACATTTAAATCATGCTACAATGCTCAGGAGATAACCTGCCAGCTAAAACTGGTTTAAGATGGACAAATAAACATTTACTGCTCCTCGTGTACTGGCAAACTGCTGTCTAATTACCTCAAACTGATCATTTACTGTTTCAGTCTTTTTTTTTCCTCCCTATTCTCCTCTTCTGTCTCTTCCTCTCTTTTCATTGCTCACTGCATGGCTTCAGCCTGCTGCCTGTTCTCTGCACAAACACCACTCCCTTCAGGATTTCTTTCACTTACTTCCATTCAATCTCTCTTTTGTATTACAGGGTTTCTTTCTTCAACCATTTTTTTTCTTTCTACTTTTCTACTGAAGTAATGTTTCTCCGTTTCCTTTGTTGTCTTTGTGCTTCATGTTTCCTCTGTACTAGATTAACTTTGTTATCAAGAACTTGATCAAGAACAATTTTCTGTGTATCTAAGGACTAAAGAAATGTTTTTTAAAATGGTGTATATCAATGAGGTTTAACTTTTACTAAAGTGCCTTAAAGGTTTCAGGTTTGTAGTTCTGGTTCATGAAATTATTAAAATTACACTGGGTGCATAACATTTTTACCTGTAGACTTAAAGTAACTGGGGTTTGTTTGGGGTTTTTTGATTGTTCCAGGTTGAAAAGGGTTAAAAAAAATGGTACTATAGTCTGAAAACTTTCTTTTAGCTGTTGGTTGCTTGGGTGGTGTTTTATTGCTTTCACTGAATTCTTGCTGGGAAATACAGTGTCCATCTTCGTTTCTCTTGTTTTTATTTTGACAGTTATGTGAGTTTTCAGTCTTGTTTAACAATTTATATTTATAATTTTTTTTATAATCTGCTTTGACTTTTATTTTTTCATTTATTTTTGTTGGTTTGAATTAACTTTTTTTTTATCTTGCAATTACTTATGTCACTTTGTTGTATCTGTTTGTTTATTGTTTTAAACAGCTTGAGCACATCCAGTAAATAGTTGAAGGCTTTTATTTTGAAAAGAATGAGAACTCAGAGCATTTAGTTACACTGCTGTTAGTATCTAGGTGAGTTTATTTGGAAAAATTAGGCACCCCATTTCAAAACAAGGCTCAATATTATGACTTGGCTCGCTACGTCCACGTTTTATCCTATCTGTGGGAAAATTTGACATAGCTAAACACTAATGTTAGCCTTTGATCCATTATTTCCAATCCTTTGGTTATCAAGGCCATTTTCACATTTTTCTTTTGTTTACCAAATAAGATGAACTACTTTGATTTTACTTTTATTTGCATATTTTCAAGCAGAAGAACTTAATTCAATTTGAAAAGGAAACATTATTTTCTAACCTCTGGCTGTTCTCTTTTTTTCTGCTGTTCTTTTGTTGTAACTTCATTTCTTCTTCCCTCCTGTCAAACTGCTTATCTCTTCTCTCTGTTGGGTACTTAATATATTCACATCTTTCTCAACTGTTCTTTCCTTCTTGACTATTTCTTTCCTTCTCTTCCTTTACAAGCTGCTGTAGCTCCTGCAGCCAACACCGTTGCTGCTGCTGCCGCCTCTGCTGGGGCTCTGGGAGCCCCTGGGGGACTCCCTCAGGGGGCTCCTGGCTACCCCAGCCCCGGGCCTGCTTCTCATAACATCCTCTCAGTCAACGAAGGTACTGACTGAACTGACGGCTGCCACTTAGGAAAAGTCTCAGAGCCTTCTTCTGCTTCCCAGATCTTTTTCACTGCCTCCTGTCCTTTTTTATTATTTGAATCTGTCCCCCTAATTTCTTTTCTTTTATGAGTTATTCTCTGACCTTCCCTCTTTTAGTGTTTTCTTCTTATCTCTCTTGACTTTTCTCTTTATGTGATTATAATCCCTCACCTCGCCTTGGATCACCTCATTTCTCTTCTCTTGCACCAGTCCTGTTTTCCACTGCAGCCAGTTTTGGTATCTAGCTCCATTTTTGTTGTGTTTAGTTTTTTCCCTGAGTGTCCTATGTCCTTTTTGTCTACAGCGCTGCTATCTTTTTACCTGTTTAGTCCACTTTCAGCCCAGTCAGTTGAAGGAATTAGGTTAATCTGCATGTCACAAAAAACTTTGCATAGGAAGAGGTAGAGTAAATTTGTAAAATCTGGCTTACCAAGCAAGTGATTATTTCTCCAAGCCTTGCACTTTGCAATTTTGTTGAAATTGCAATTCTGGGCCAATCTGTTACAAATTTAATGATTTGTAAATGTGAAATACTCCACAAGAAGCTGCTAACATGTCAGCAGCTCTAAAATGATTTAATGCTTTTCCTAAATTTGGTGCAATAAAGAGTGGTGTCGTCTGCAAACAGGCTGACTTTACTGTTATTTGGAACTGACAGAGTTGAGTGTGCACTGAAAACAATCCTTATGCCCTAGTGTTGTCTCTATTGTTCCCAGCTGTTGGCAGTAACATACAGTCCTGCTCCGTTTCTACTGTCTCTACCGCCTGTCTGAATGTCCACATGTCTTGATGTTCCAGTGTCTCTGTGCTGTTTGCATGCTTGCTATTTCCACCTGAGTGTTTCACTGAGGAGATTTAAAAAAAAAAAAAAAAACCCAAACAAACAAAAAAATCAAAAAGGAAAGCAAAATGCACACCAGCACACCCACCTCACTGTTTTTTGTTTTTGTTTTTTTTATTAAATTTTTTTAAAAAATTTATTTATTTTTAAACAGATGCAATATGGAAAATTGCGTTTAAAAACAAACAAAAAAACACAGAGAACTGAAAGCTAACTAAAATTTTGCATTATTGATTTTAAGGCTTCTTTTTTACATGGACTTGTGGTTGGAGTTTCTCTGGTGTCAGAGCCTACTGCTCTCCTTCCTTTCCTTCTTGTATGAACCTTTTTTGTTGTTTTTTCTAAAAAACAGGATTTTGGATTTCACCATGGAGGCTTGCTCTCACTCCCACACATATGATGAATGTGTTCTTTTGTTTGTTTTTCAAAGATTATTTGTGATGTCTAAGGGAATTCAAGGGAATACAAGTTCCTTTTCAAAGCTAATTAACTTTTTTGTACACTAAAACAAATGGGAGACAGCAAGCATGCTCACAGTGTCACATTCTTTCTCAGTACATGTAGGAATATATATATTTTTTTATTTCAATAGCTGTTTAGTCAGAAACGCTGCCCTGCAAAAACTAATTTCTTCCTTTGTTGCTTTTATGCTGTTTATAAGTACTATGATATGTATTACCACTAGCAGTTGCAGTAATAGCAAAACAAATTAACACTACACTAGTAGTTGTTGTAGTAGATAGTAGATACAGTTAACAGAGAACAAAGTGACACCACACACACACACACACACACACACACACACACACACACACACACACACACACACACACACACACACACACACACACACACACTCTCTAACTTTCATTGGACTTCCACAGCTTTGTTCCTGATTTGTCCTGAAGCTTGTCCTGTCGGCAGCAGTTCACCTAGAAGGTGGTTGTGGTAACACGAAGCCCATGAACCCAACTAATGCAACCTAAATAAAACTAAAAGCAGCATATCCAATACGTTATTGAAATAAAAACCCTTTAGGAAAAAAACAAAACAATTTTTACTCTGGTCTCTTCTTGTAAACATTAACAGGTTCCTCTTCATTCCCTCCAGGTAACAATTCAAATTTTTTGGCACTTCTCTCGTTGTTCTTCAAATATAAGTTAGTTCTGCACCATTTGATTTTCTGACTGGTCCATGACAAGGAGGGGACCTTGATGAGCATAGCTTTGTTCCAAAAGTTCATTGGTTGTCAACAAACCAACAAACTCGTTAATGGAGATTGTTTTTGGAGGTTGTTTGTTGTTGCTGTTGACCTTTTTAATAGGACTCATATATGAAATGGATGCTGCCAGCTGCCTGTGAGTACAGTCCTGGAGCAGCTTATGCTTCTTTGTTAACCAAATGAATCCTCAAGCCAAAGTTCAGTCTGATTTTAAAAACCAAACTAACAAAAAAAAAAAAACAGGAGTAAAATTTTATTTTGGGAACTAGAATTGATTCAAATTTCTGCAGTTTTTGCAAGGCAGTGATTCATATTTGTATGTGGAGGTTGACTGATTCTGATTGCTTTGATTTCCTATGTTATAAACAAAATAGTTATTATAATATATCTGTCACATATGATGAAATCTTTAGTCTGTCAACCTCTACATAGTATTTCTGTAATAATGTTTTATTTTTTCTGTAATATCTGGATATTTCATTGGTGGAGGTAAGTTTATACGGTTCCCCCAGCAAAGAAATTTGTATGAAATTTCTTTCCTGCCTAACAGCCATTCAGTCTCCATCACACAAGTGCATTTCATAGACATGCATCATGTCCAGAAACCATATATTAATCCAATATATGTGATTAAGGTGCTTGATTTATGTTGAGTATCTGCAAATAAAAAGTTAAAGTCACAGATGAGTAAGAGGTGATGTGTATATCTTTGGTGTATGGTCAGAAATATGAATATATGCCATTGTTTTGAGCCCTTATAAAGCGATACCAAGACATTTTGAATGTTTTTGTCACACAACTGAGAAACGGAGCGTTTTAGTGTCTGCCATTTATTGTGAAAGCCTTCAGTGTTTCTTTTTGTTATCAAGTAAAAACCCACATGCAGCTGAGAACACACACTTAAATTCATCATGCCAAGGTATCGTGACAAGGCTTTTGTATACCTGTTGTTTACTCCATCAGACAGACTCTGGTTAGCAGAAAAAATTTTGTTTGCTCTAACCAAGACTGCAGATAATGTTGTCGATAATATTCTCATCCCGTGTTTGACTGTTGTTACTGTGATTTTTTTTTTTTGTCTTTCTTTCTTTCCTTTGGAAGTCAGTGCTGTCACATGGAAACAAGTTTTTAAAAATACTTTTTAATGTACTTTTAAAGACTAAAATGGTGAGTTAAGTATGTTCTTTCTCTGCAAGGATGACTCAAGAAGACACTGAAGTTTGTTTTTTGGCCACGATTTAAAATGACGACAACAACAACAAGAAAAAAAAAAATTACTTTCAAGGCTTTCAAAAACCTAGTAACCCCTTGAACTTTTCCATTTTGTTATGTTACAACAACAAACTTAAAAGTACTTAACTGGGATTTTGTGTGATACACAAACACAACACTGGATCGGGGGCATCTGTTCATATTGTGCATTTGTATTCAGCCCCCTGAGTCGATACTTTCTCAAACTATCTGTCACTACAATTACAGCTGCAAGTCTTTTGAGGTATGTCGCCACCAGCTTTGAACATCTAGAGTGCAATTTGCCCATTCTTCTTTGCAAAATAGCTCCAGTACAGTCAGATTGGATGGAGAGCGACTGTGAACACATACACTCCATTCTATGCCTTGCGTTTGTCTGTTACACAAAATCACAATAAAATACATTCAAGTTCATGGTTGACAAAATGTGGAAAAGTTCGAAGGGGTATGGATACCTTTTCAAGGCACTGCATTAAAAACCGTGTTTCTATTTGACAGCAATAGCATTAGAGAGGCTTTAACTTGTTCTTGTAGTTTTTCTGACTGTTTGTGTAAAATGTGTTGGTGTGTGTGTGGTTGTGATTGTTTGTGCAGGATGGAGCCAGCTGGCGGCCATGCACTGCGTGATGCTCCCTGACCTACTTGGCTTGGACAAGTTCAGACCGCCACTGCTGGAGATGCTGGCGAGGAGATGGCAGGACCGCTGTCTGGAGGTATGTATGATGCCATCAAGGAAAAATTGAGTCAAAATTGAAAAAACAAACAAACAAAAAAAAACTGCAATTCCTCTAACGGCCACTTGAGGCAAGCTAAAAAAAAAAGTGAGTCAGTCGCCATCAGTTTTGGTCAAGTTACTTCAAAATAGTAATAAGTTACTAATTATTACTTCTCCAAGAAAGTAATCCAATTACTTTGCTGAGTACTTATTTTCAAAAGTAATTAGTTACTTTATTACATAGTTACTTTTAAAAAAAACATGATACACAACCTGAATAAGTAATAAAGCAATTGGCTTTTCAGCCCAATTCTATTGTTTCTGCATAATCTATCGTATAAAAGTGAACCAAATGAAAAAGTCTATTTTAAAGGCTTTTTAAATTAGTTTTAACCTTTTAACTTTATGCACATTGCATAATCAAAAATTAAATTATATGCAGCAGTCTTTGATTTGAAGAAATTTGTTTAACATTTAAACATATTCCAACATATAAAATAAAAAAATTTTAAATGCTTACACTCACCCTTTCAAATAGATGCAAATAAAACACAGCAAAAATTAAATAAAATCAAAGATTCAGTAGTACTAAGTCCTATCGCTCTTAAATCTATTTTTCTCCTGTTTAGCAGGAGTGGGACTGGTGCAGGTTTTCCCGGTACCACAGCAGTGTTTCTGTGAATTTCACATTCCCGTGGCAGCGTGCTAGGTGCTTGCTTAGATTTGAAGTTAAATTTTTTGCTGTAGAAATAAGTTTTCTTACCACGCAGAGTGTAGAGCGGACGCTAGTGGTTTTGTCACTTTTTACGGGTCAAACTCAAAGTAATGTCAGTACTTCCAAGCTTAAACTCTGCACGGTCGTACTCTCTTCCGCACTCCATATTATCCATTGTTGATCTACACATGTCTGTTGCTGCCACGGACGCCGCACGCTCGTACATCATTGTCATGAGACACTCACAAACAAAATCACAGTTTAGTAATGCAGCGTGCTTACGGGAAAGTAACAGTAATCTAATTACTGTTTACTTTTTCATTACTTGAAAAAAGTAATTGGATTACAGTAACACATTACTGCTCATCTCTGGTTGCATAGACTCCCATGTTTAAAAATCCAGCTTTACAGCATAAATAAAGCTGTTTATAGCCTGATACAGACATAAATTTTGTTCAGTTTTCCCTTCATAAAAAAACATTACAGGGTGTGAATTTTTCTTAATAACTCATCCAACTGGATTTTTATTAAGACTTAAATTTAGGGGTGTGGCCATTTTTATTGACAGGCATCCCTACACATCCTGGGGTTGGTGCCATTTGGACCACTTTAAACTTTGAATGGAGTGGAGTTGGTCATCTATGAATCTTTACTTTTAATGGCTCTATTTGTGTTTGTCATATCTATATTTTAAAATGTTCTTATGTCATTAATTATATTAATTTATGCAACAGTTCATCCACACAGAAATCAGGATCTAGTAAAAAGTATTGTGTAACTCAAAGCAGCAGGTTTGATGTGGTGGTTAAAATGCCCATCTCGTCCACATTGAGGTCACTGGTTACATTTTGACTCTGTTTCTGCTTTCTCACTAAGAGTGTATTAGATATAATGACAGAAGGAATCTTTTTTTTTTTTTTTTCGTAAGAGATTTTACTGTGAAGCACTTTGTGGTTTTTATCCTGTGAAAAGTGCTATATAAATAAATTGATTTGATTTGATCAATATTAATGTGCATGGGCGCATTAAGCGAAACAAAACAGTCAGATAAGTCAAACTTTACTCAACTCATTCTTCCTGCTTCCTCCACTTCCGTACCTTTGATTCATTAAGATAAGATAAGATAAGATAACCTTTATTAGTCCCACACGTGGGAAATTTGTTTTGTCACAGCAGGAAGTGGACAGTGCAAAAGTTATGACGCAAAAATTAGAATACAATAAGAATAAATACAGTACACAGCTGTACAGAATAGAATAAAATAATATACTATATACAGTAGAATAAAATAGAATAAAAATATACAATAAGATAAAAATAGAATACGAATGCTATATACAACTGAGTAAAAATACGATGCCAGAAAAGATTATTGCACTTAGTGTTATAGCATATGTGTGGATGTGTGTGTTTGTTCAGTTAAAGTCTTTGTTGTGGAGTCTGACAGCAGTGGGGAGGAAAGACCTGCGAAATCTCTCCGTCCCACACCGTGGGTGCCGCAGTCTCCCACTGAAGGAGCTGCTCAGTGCTGTCACAGTCTGCTGCATGGGGTGGGAGACGTTGTCCAACAGGGATGACAGCTTAGCCGCCATTCTCCTGTCACTCACCACCTCCACTGGGTCCAGAGGGCATCCTAGAACAGAGCTGGCCCTTCGGATCACCCTGTTCAGTCTCTTCCTGTCCCCAGCAGACCACACCATAAAAGATAGCAGAAGCCACCACAGAGTCATAGAAGGTCTTCAGGAGTGGGCCCTCCACCCCAAACGACCTGAGTCTCCGCAGCAGGTACAGCCTGCTCTGCCCTTTCCTGTAGAGGGCGTCTGAGTTATGAGTCCAGTCCAGTCTGTTGTTCAGATGAACACCAAGGTACCTGTAGCTGTCCACAGCCTCAATGTCCATACCCTGGATGTTCAGTGGTTGCAGTGGAGAATGCTTGTGCCTGCGGAAGTCTACCACCAGCTCCTTGGTTTTTCTGGCGTTGATCTGGAGGTAGTTCAGCTGGCACCAGTCCACAAAGTCTTGAGTCCTCTGTACTCCTTGTCGTCCCCATCAGTGATGAGGCCGACTATTGCAGAGTCATCAGAGAACTTCTGCAGGAAGCACTGGGTGGAATTGTGGGAGAAGTCTGCAGTGTAGATGGTGAAGAGGAACGGAGCCAGAACCGTTCCCTGTGGGGCCCCCGTACTGCAGACGACCCTGTCCGACACACAGCCCTGAGTCCTCACATACTGTGGTCGGTCGGTGAGGTAGTCCAAAATGTTAATGTTAATGTTGAATTCTCACGCAGCTGCTCTATTCCCATGTTGTTGCAGTAAATTAATGACTAACCTCGTATTGTGGATGAATAATCTCAGTTGTTCTCCTGACTGAAGTTTGGTCCGTTTACAGCATCCTGCCATGCGATTACATTTGTCCCTAACCATAAGAAACCCTCATGTTAACTTTTATCAAGTGGAAAAAAGTTAGCATTCGTCCTCCAGCTTCACTGTTTATGCTATGCTAACATAGCTGTGTCACTAGCGATCACATAGCACATCATTATATACCAGCTAGCCCAACTTCAGTAACCCTACAAACGTCACTGCTGTTTAGTTTCCTGTCTTAATTTATGTTGGAAGTGATAGCAGAGCTGTACGTTTGAATCTTTCAGAAATCTCTCAGTCAGAACATGCTATATCATGTTTAGGTGGAAACTACTTCCTGCTAACTCCGTTTAATTTAATAAATTATGTTTTCATGCCTGAATGTTAAGCTTAATTGCTACACTTGGTAAAGCAGCAACGCTGATCATTTTAGTAAAGATGAAAAATTTAGACAGTTTTTAACTCTCAGTGATGCCGCAGGGTTCATTTGACTTTGGGACCTGAAGCAGACGGAGTTTTGGACCCAGATTACTCTGCAAGGCTCCTGACTATGGTAGTTGTAATGCTCCGACAATCCATCAAGCGGTGCGGCTTCATAGCTTATCAAAGTCGTACTAAAACATTTTTTTGACAGATGTTTGAGCGCCGTGTGCTACATAAAATCTGTTCGAGGTCAAGTCAACCAGAATTCATACACAAGGCGCACAGGATTATAAGGCGCACTGTCGATTTTTGAGAAAATTAAAGGATTTTAAGTGTGCTTTATAGTGCGGAAAATACGGTAAATAATAACATGTGATATTGTTTTTAATTCACAGTGATTTAGTGTGTTTGTGGTTTCAGGTACGAGAAGCAGCCCAAGCTCTTCTCTTAGCTGAACTGAGGAGGATCGGCCAGTCAGGACGCAAAGAAACCATTGACATGTGGGCTCCATACCTGCCCCAGTATGTCGACACAGTCAGCTCCCGTAAGTATCACTTTGTGTGCTAATCAAATCAATCGTGATATGATGCGGTCCCTTTTATAAGGTGCCTTTATAAGTTCAAGGTATTTGTATCAGTATTGGTTACTACTACTAAAAAATTAGTACTACTACCAATTTTACTACTAAACTACTACTAAAAAAATATCCACAGCAGTTTCCTAGCAGAATTTCTAAAAACAAAAAAGGGAAATAAAGGTATTCCGTCTCCTTCACTCTTGGCTCTCTGTAATGTCGTAGAGAACTATAAGGAAGCTAAAGTAGCCTGTTTCAGACAAAATGAACTTGGAGGCTGAACCAAGGACCAACCTCAGTTTCTTTTTTCTTTTTTTTTTAGTCTTGTTAATATGTTAAGATGACTTTTAAAGCCGTGTATAGCATTGTCCAGCTCATCTAAAGTTTTAACGAATATCTCACAATAGCGGCGCACAAACCACTCTGATTGGTGATTTCTTTCTGCAGCTGTCAGTGCCGTCTCTCTTTACCGCCGTCTCTCTTGCTTTGCCACTCTGTCTCCGGCTCTGTCTATTCCCTGGTCTCCCTCTCTGTCTATAGTTAGACCTGCTGATGGGAAGAAAGGTGAATCTCTACGTTCTTTTACTAGAAACGGCGCTCTAAAATGCAGTGTGTGTGTGTGTGTGTGTTCAGGAGTCGCCCTGTGGTTGCTGAGGATGCTAAGGGTTTCTCGGGGGAACAGTTGCCGTGGAAACGGGCACCGGTCAGTGTTGTGTTACCACAGCAGTACCGCAGGCAGGGGTGGTGCCTATGTGTAGGGGAGTGATGGACTGGTGACCTCCAGGGATGAGGGAGAATGGAGGCGGGTGGAAAAGGAGGTTAAAGGGTCATTGAATTTGAGCTGTGTGCTGCATAGCAGGACTGGAAAAGGCAGAAAGATGACTCCTGCTGGTCCTGGAAATCCTGGATCTCCAGGGGACAGTCGGAGATGTGTTTGAATCCTCTGGAGATGTCCTCTGAACCCTGAGGCTCTTCTTGGATCAGTCTTTGGTTTACAGTAATTACCACAACTTAAAACCCAAACTTTTTTCTCTGCACAAAACCCATTGATTAACTGATTAAATGATTTTCTACTGTTAGTAAAGATGTAAAGATGCTGACCAGCACCTTCAGCAAAACACATCTCAGAAATTTGGGTCTGAGTGTTTTTCATCAATTACCATAAGTCGTTTACCGTTTGTCCTAGAGACAAAAATCTAACTATTTTGGAAACGAGAGGACACGATAGTAGCTGACAATATCAGCTACTATCCATGTTATTGCTATTTGGATGGCTATGACCACCCCTACCATGAAAATTATCTCAGTAGGTTACTCGTGTGTATGTTTCTGACCAAACTGTCAGAGTGCACGAGGGTGGGATGAGACCTTTAGTGAGACCTGTGCTATCTGACCAGTGTGGTAGAGAGTCGCCTGTATTTATCTGTTAGGCTTAACTGCAGAGGAAATGTCACTGAGCCGAGTCCCTCCGTCGCAGCAGGGAGCCAACTTGACAACACACACACAAACAGCAGCAGCCGTGCCTGACCTTTCAGCTCTCCTGGAAGTGTTTAAAAGGCTTTAACACGGAGAAAACAGGGGCTGTTAACCTCCACTCAGAGGAAGAAATGAACTGTCCACAGAGTCTCCATCATCACTGCTGTGATGGTGTGGAGCAGCACATTGTTTTGGGAAAGTAGTTTTATCATCAGAAAGTGGCTGCGTGGAGCTGTTTACCTGCAGACGGGAGGTCTGGTTATATCTGGAAAGCCATGAGTGGCAAAGCTGCTGTTAACAATTAAAACAAACAAACAAAACAAAAACTGAAAACAGGTCTTTCATAGCTACAGGAGCTGTGAGGCAGGGTACTGAGGGACCACACACACACACACACACACACACACACACACACACACACACACACACACAGCTCTCATATTCACACACACTTCATTAACCAAAGTCCCTGAGCTTTGTTCCTTGTTCCAATTTTCAGGGTCAAATGGTGGATATGTGAAGCAGCTGTTTCTTTGATCACTGAAGAGCACTCTGTTTCCCCCTTTTCTCTCTTGCTTTTCTCCGTTGTTGCTTCTCAGTCTACCTCGAACATCCAGATTGTTACTTTTTTTTTTTTTTAACTCCAATCAACCTGCTGTTCAAAGTCTCCCTCTCCCCCCTCTTTCTTGCGTCTTCCCTTTTTTCCTTCATCCTTTCCTACACATTTTTCCCAGCTTTTCTGTAAATAGTCACACTGAAAACCCTGTTTCTTCATGTTCAAGAGCATGAAAGTGTCTAAAAATCATCAAAAATCATGATCGTTTCCTACATGTAATTCACAAATTTTTAGTCCCTAAAGATGGTCAGTAATATTGCCTAAATCTAACCAAGTAGCAGCTTGGTTAGATTTAGTGAGTAGTGAGTGGTTTTTAGTCCCATAATCTAACGGAGTAGTCTTTACTTCCTAAATCTAACAGATTACTCAATTAGACTTAGGAAGTAAAGAGTAGTTTTTACTTCCTAAATCTAAGAGTAGTTTTCAGTCCCTTAATCTAATGGAGTAGTCTTTATCGACTAAATCTGACATAGTAGTTCCTAAATTTACTGGAGTAGGTTTTAGTGCCTCAATCATCCATTCCATTTCTCTTCATCTCTCATCTCTTCAAACCTTTTTTCCTCTCTTCCTTTTCTTCTTATGTCTAAAACACAGAATCAAGCAAGCAGAAACATTGTAGTGCAAAGTTAAAATATCAGGACTACAGTACAACAATAGAGGCTGAAGATGAAACTCCCTTGCATCATCTTATATAAGACAGATCTGAACTAAAAATATTCCAGTCATCCTTATGTGAGTCCTCCTTTAGATGAATCTCTCCTGATGATTTAAAACTATAGTGAAAGAGCAGTAGAGGTTGGGAAACAGGAGAAGAACAGGAAGTGTGGGTCTCAAACATGAATACAGGGAGCAACAGTCAGAAGAAACGAAGAGAAGGAGGACAAGGAGGAGGAGGTCCTGAAGGTTAACAAGGCATGCTGGGAGCAATGTGTCATGGCTGACATGACAAGCTTGACCTTGGAGCAGGGCAGAACGCCTCCTTCTCCTCCCCTCCTTCTTCTCCCCTCCTTTTCCTCCCCTCCTTCGCCACCCCTCCTCCACTTCCCTCTCCTCCTCTTTCTTCTTCTCCCTCAGCTCTTGTATCTCTCATTTTCATTCTTCCAACCAGGACAGTTAAGTTGGAGGTTATAGCCCAGCTGGTGTGCACGATGTGTGTGCTGGAGATGCAGAACACGAGAACTGGGCCACCTTCAGGCCAAGCAGCAGCCTCGAGGGTCACAGACTGTATATAAAAGATGGATGTAACCACCATTATCTATGGCGTGAAACCGCCTGCTCAGAGAGGGAAACATGCAAATAGAAACTGAAGCGAGGGTTGTTTTTGTTTTTTTCCGCTCTCCGCAGGCCTTTTGTTCATTCACAGTAAAACATCAGTTATGTTTTAATTAAATCCAATTAAGTTTTTATCACTTTAATGTCAGAGACAGGTAATCAACTGCCGGGCTGTGTATTGGCCTTCTGTCACCGTGTGTGTGGGTGTGTGATACGAAGTCATTATGTTGAGCTGTCAGCTGTGTGTGTGAGCAGGTTAATTGGAACATGAAGCACATGTTAACCTGGATTAATCAATGTAATTACACACAGTGTAATTACAGTTAATTTTATTGGTGTACTGAAGAAGCCTTATGAAACTGTGCCATTTAACTTTTTCTTTTTTTGTTGATTACATTTTTTTTTCTTTAAAAAAAAGGAAGAGGAATATATTTCTTTGTTTTTGCTTTCTTCGTTTTTGATAAGCGTTTTGTGGTTCTTAATTCATTAAGCAGGCTGTTTTCCCAGAGATTAGCCCTGTGCCGACTCTGTTACCTTAATCTGCTTCATTCATTAGCACAGTGTCATTCATTAGTGCCGGCCGCTAATGAAAAGCCACTCTTAATTGCCAACAGAGAGATAAGAGCTAAATGAAAACGCTAAATAAAAGCGTGTCCCTGTCCTTGTGTGTGTCCATGTGTTTCTATTCATTCTGCTTATACGAGGACGTCCAATAAGCCTTTATTTGCTGCTTAACCAGAGCAGTTAACTTGATCATAACAACAATGAGGACCAGAACAGAAACTCGCAGTGGAGAGCATCCTGACATACAGACATTCAAACCATTACGCTGATGGTCGGTGACATCAGTGAGCCTGATCTCATGGCACAATGTGAAATGGTCACGAATAACCTGTTCGGTCACGTTCACAGACATGAAACTAACTTAATTCAACTGGTTTCTGTCAAAGTAGTTTTTATTGATTAAATCTAGTGGTGTAGTTATTATTGACTACATCTAATAGGGTTTGGTTTACTGCTTAAATCTATCTGCGTAGTTTTTACTGAGTAATTGCATAGTTTTTCTGTGTAAATCTATCAGAGTAGTTTTTATTACTTAAATCTGTCACAGTAAATTTTATTGACAAATTTATCTTATTGGCTTAATCTAAAAGATTTGAGCAGTAAACTACATTCTACTGGGGTACTTTTTACTGCCTAAATTTAATATAAACATTTTTTTTCTGAATCCAGTGGGGTAGTTTTTAATGGTTAAATTATCGAACTGCATGCACTTTATAATTGCTATGATGCACTGAGGGGAGATGTGTAAATTATATCTATAATAGTAACCTGGGTTGTGCTCGTTGGACGGACTGCACTGAACCGTTTTGTCTCTTTCTCCTCAGCTGGAACAACCACCGACACTCCCCCTCCAGCCCTGCCGCCACCAGAGGCTCAGCCAGTAGAAACCAAGGCTCCTGAGGAGGAAATGGATGTCACTGATGATGACATCACAGCAGGTAAGAGCACAAATTTCTTTCTAAGCAGGGAAAATAGGATTAAAGTACGCACACTTCTTTGGTATTCTTTGTTTTTTTGTTTTTTTTACCCATCTCAGGAGTAAATAATAGAAACTGTAGAGCTGCAACTTGGTTGGTCGTGGTTTGAATTGGTTGTTCCCACACTCATCAAGTTGCCTTAGACTGACTGTAAACATCTAAAAATAAATGCTTTGAATGCTTTCACTGCTAGCTGGAACCAGAAATTTTAGTTGGTAAAGCTCATTTTTCTTATGGTATACTGGGAGTGGGCCAGGTTTCCAATTTTTGATGTGATGGGCTTTGTAACTGTAGAAGTTAATGATTTTAATAATAGCCTACTGCGTCTATTTAAGTGGGTACACACAGGGTACAGTGTTCCCTCACTATATCGCAGTTCACCTTTCGCGGCCTCGCTTGTTGGGTTTTTTTGTGAATTGTGAAGACCAGGCCATTCATTTATTTAAACGCAGAGATCCAAAGTGTAATTCTTAGCCAAATGATATAGATGAGAGAAAAAGAAAGAAGGAAAGTTACTACTGCTCAGCTACTTATTGAGGTTTTGCAGTCATGTGTAGTGACAATGTTGAATAAAGTGGATCAGGATCCAGTTGCACAGGTACGACTGGTCTGCAATCATCTGGCAACCACTGGTCATGAGACTGCATTGGGCTCAGGAAGGAAGAGGAGGGTCATCTAGTAACTGGAGGGTTGGTGGTTCAATCTCTGCATGCCACAGTATCCTTGGGCATGATACTGAACACCACTATGCTCTGCAATTCGTTCATTGGCATGAGGGCTCAATTAGAGTAGAACAGGACTGTATAAGACCAAGTGCATCTACCGTTTATTCCAGTTGTTAAAAGTTGCGGATTGCTTTGGTCACTAGCATATTGCTGCAGTCGTAGTTTAGAAGGCAGTGACAGTTTTGTCTAGAACGTCCAGCTGCTTTCTGAGCAAAACTCTGAACACTGTCCTAAAAAACCAGCAGCCTAGCTATCTCTCTGTGATGTGAAGTCAGCCATAATCAGCCAACGAGTTGCCGTGTGGATGCTGACCTCCAAGGAAAGAAAGAACAGTGACCACACTCTGCAATCTAATGTGAATCTTGTGTGTGCAGATTAAAATTTCAGCAAATACCCACGCAATATTTGACAAGGAAATTCAAGTCTCTTGAAGCATCCCTGCTTTGTCCCATGATCACAAGCTGAAACCCATTTCATACGATGCTGTAGCTTTAACCTCTTCAGACTTTCTTCTGTTCTTCGTGAACCTCTCCGGTGTTTGAGGATTACAATTAAGGGCTCATTTTTCCCCTCCGTGACCTGAGAAGTCTCATCTGGTTTGATTCCAAAAAAACATGAAGAAGTCATTTATTATTTATCTCCAGCTGAATTCAGGTGTTTTGCTCTGCTGACTCTGAGTGGAGGATAAGCATTAGTGTTTGTGTGCACGCATGTCCTAATCAATGCCTGCATGTAATACCCGTGTACTGTGACCTGCATGGTGTTAAAAGCAGTTTAGTGTAGCGCGCGCGCACACACACACACACACACACACACACACACACACACACACACACACACAGTAAGGTGAGAAGCACTTCTCCCCAGGAAACAACTCACACCTGCAGTACAGGTAGAAAAACACACATGCACACACTTTCCAGTCCATTTATCCTTGCCACATATACCCTGAATGTTTAACTGTGACAGACACACACATAGAACGATTCTCCACTCTAAGATAAACACATTTAAGCACTGCATTTCTATTTTTCTTCCTACACATCAGCAGTTTTTGCATCCAGAATCACAGAACAATAAAGCAGGATTGACTCATTTGTCTAAATATTTTAAAGACATTCATTTCTGTAATAAAGAAAAAAAACCCAGTGCCTAACGCTGTCTCACTGTCTGCACCACCTTTTTTCCTCTTCCCTCCATCCTCCATCCTTCTCTCAGACCAGTCAATATCACAGATGTGTCTGACAATTTATCATTTCTCTCAGCTCGTTTTTCTCTTATTGACAGCTGTGGGTTGTTTTTTTTTTTTTCTCTTTTCATTCGGTCTCTGCAGGATTAAATCTGTTAGCAGAAACCTCAAACACAGAGCAACCTGAACCTTATTCTTCTGTGGAGGAAGAACTTTTGCCTCTTTGTTTCTTTTGTGGTTTTTATAATTGAACTTTTTAACATTGTTATGAATGAACGCACTCTCCATTTGGAAACCTGTCATATAAATATTTTCAGTGTATATAAACTCACTACTTGGATTTCTACACGGTATTTAACATTACCATGTACTGAAATTGCAGTTATAATTTGAATGGGTTCATATGAAAAATGATGTGTGTAGGGCTGTGCGATGAGACCAAAATCTCATATCCCGATATAATCATATACATCCATTGTCCGATAACGATATAAATCACAAAAATGTAACATTTTCTGTAAATTCTGTGAATCTCGGGCAGCTCGACTTGCGTGAAGTGTTTCCAGCTGAGCGTCGTGTACCTGGAGTTGAGCGTCTTAACCGATGCATGAAACTGAATATTTTTAGACATAAGTTGTAACAGCCGCAGTTTTCTTTGAGTATTTATTACACAGCATGCTGCGGGGAAAAGCCTGTTCTAACTATTGAGTCTGAGGTTTATTTTTTAACACCTGATGGCTCTTTTTTGCTTCTCATTCGTAGCTACTCTGCATACTCTTTCACGTGATTCAGTTTCTTTTGAAACGTCTCAAAAGGATCTTGAGCTTTATTGTGAAAGGTTTATGTGGAAAATAAACAAGCGGACACGCGATGGTTTTACTGTCGTTGTTGCTAAAGACTTCACATAAAAACAGGCGCTTGTCTGTCAGTAGTGTGGTCATATTAAATATAAGAGAAAGAGAGAACTTAAATTCAAATTCAAATTTTATTTGTCACACACACACAACCATACACAGTATGACATGGGGGTGAAATGCTTGTAGCTGTACAATGCCCGACCATTAAATGACAGAAGAAAAGTTTTACAATATTTACAATTTACTACAAAAATTTACAAATTAACTTAGGAATTTACAGTAAAGAACATGCAAATAGCAGAAGAGATTATAAAGATAAGGATTATAAGAGAAATTAATATAGCCACTACAGTGACCATCAAAACGATGAAAAAATATTGCCGTAAACAGTTTATTTTGCGACACCACGAAACAAACGATAGCGTAAAACAAAATGATAGATGTTTTTATATCGTCATCCGATATATTTCATTATATCGAACAGCCCTACATGTGTGTATGATTTCCGTTGCTTCATGTTAAAAGTTGGCAAACGGGTTTTACCTCAAGAATTCACAAATTGTGAGTCTGCACAGAGTGGAACATTTTGTCTGCATGCGGTCTGTCATTTCTGTCCATGACTTCCTGTTTTCCTCGTGTGCTCTGTGCAGCTTCACGAAACTTTTACAAAAAAAAACAAAACATGACACTAACTCGATGGAGCTGCACTGCTGATTTCACTCTGTGACGCTTATTTCCATCTCTATGTTTTTATACTTTGACTCTACCAGAGTAGTTTGAATTATTCCTTTATCCATCTTATAGTAGAACTCAGTGCAGCCCTCTAATTCATCTTCTGTTTGTGTTATCGGTTTTAGCTCCAGCATATTTTACATATTTGCAATTGAGCTGTGTCCCCAAGGTAACCATTCAGTGAATATCTGCTCTGTGTGACATCATACAGAGCCCAGAGAGGGGAACAAACGGTTTAAGGCAGACTGAAGATGTAATTAGGATTAATTTAGGCTCATCCCATCAACCATCAGAGCTGTTCATGCACATACAGACTACACTTACACTAACACATACTCTCTTAATGTGCAGTGTTTTTATGTTCAGTCTTACAGCTTTATATGGAGCAGCTTTATGGTGAGCAGTGGTACTGTAATTGTTTAGCTCATGTCAGGAAAAAATGTAATATTGCACATGGGCATGTGCAATATTACATTTTACTTCAGATACTTAGTAAGATGATTTTGTGGGTTTTATTGTTTTATTATAGAGTTTTTGTGTTTTGTATAGACAGAAATAGCCATTTGAGGTTGTGGGAACTCGAGGTTTTCGTCATGTTTTGGATTTGCTAGGAGAAAATGTGAAGCAAATGAAATGAGTGAAGGGGAAAAAAGAGAAGTGGACGAGACAAAGGGGAGAAGACAGAGATGTCTACAGCAGCAAAATCACTTGGCTGCAGGCTGTTTCCACGGCGATAGACTCATCACATCGGTCTGCTGTCACACACTTGCACACACAAACACCAACATGTACACACACCAGGATGTGCAGGTGAGAACATTTGTTGCTCAGTGCCGCAGCGCCCCACACACACACACACACACACACACACACACACACACACACACACACACACAAACCTGTAATTATGTCCGTTGCAGTGTCAGGGGATGTCATTAGGATCCACAGCCTCCTCTTCCTCCCCTCTCTCTCAACACACTCACTTGAATTTAGTTCATTAAATCTCTGATGGCATGGCATTTTGGTGGGAAAACATGCCCAAGAATCTAAACAATTAGAGTAAGGTCATTTGTTGTTATTGTAATACAAGAATTCCTACATTTCACTGTGTTATGCTGTGTAAGGCAGCCCTATGGGCCCTGGCTATTTCCTGAATGACTGCAGTCTAGTTTCACAGACTCAAACAACTTCAGTCCCACTGCCAAATCTTTGACGCAGAGGTCGTCCTTCAAAACGTGTCTTTTTGACTTTTTCTTATGAATTTAGTTTAGCTTGTGAGTTTCCAGACCCTGAAGCAAGATTTAGGAAAATCAGTACAGAGAACCCCACAAAACTTGCTAAAAGCAGCTGACTCAAAGTTTTGTAGTCTCAAAAAACACATACTTTAGTGCCTCATCAGGAATGCTGTCATTATTATTATTTTTTTATTTTTTGCAGCTCTAATTTTTTCAAGTCTAT